GGCTACTATGTCTCTGCATATGAACCAGGATTCATCCTGCATTAAAATCTAAGAGTTCTTTTTTGTTATGTTATATTATGATTGTTTGGTTTGTTTTTAGAGAAAAGTTTACTCTGTGTAGTCCTGGATGTTTTAGAACAAATTCTGTGGTCCAGGCTAGTCTCAAACTCAGAGATCCACCTGCCTCTGCCTCTGAAGTGCTGGGATTAAAGGTGTGTGCCACGACCACCTGGCTAAAATCTAAGCGTTCTTATTGTGACCACTCTACAGAAGACAAAATCAGTTGAAGATTAGATCAGTTAGCCACGCCATGTTGAAGTCACACAGCTGGAAAGCATCTGATAGCAGTGTGTGCTGCTGCTGCTAAGATACAAGATGGTGCAGGGAGGTGGTGGCTCACACCTTTAATCCCAGCACGTGGGAGGTAGAGGCAGGTGGATCTCTGAGTTCCATTAAGTGAGTCCAGGCTAGCCAAGACAACAGAGAGAAACCTTGTCTCAAAGAACAACAACAAAAGACACAAGATGTTCTTGGGCCATTTAAATTACCCTTAATATTATAAAGAACAAATAATTTTTCTTAGCAGTAGACAACTTGATCCCAGTGAAGTTATGTTGAGGAGTATAAAGACCTATATTAAGCCGGAAACATGTAAAAGAATAACTTTTTAAAAGGTGAACGAAGAGTGAGAATTTAAAGCAATAGTATATGGAGTGAATATATCTAGTTACTCCTTCTCATCTCATTCCACCACAGGTCGAAATGTCAGAGAAGCAGGAATTGATATTTCTGGAGTTACATGAACGTACTAAATTGTGACTTTCAGTTGCTAGGTCTCTGCTGCATCTGTATAATCTAGCATTTTGCTCTGCTACACCTCCTGAATTTTGTTATCTTTTGGTTTATGGTTGTTAATCAAACTGTAGTGCTTGCTGTGGGATTAGCCTTTAAATGACAAAAAGAACATGATAGAAAGAACTTAGTTCTTAGAACTTAGTTCAGCCCCATGCTGAACTTTGTTATGTGTGGGCAAAGGAGCACTGGACTAATATTGTACCTGATGATTTTTCTCAGGCATCGAGATTTCAAGCCAGTTCATTTTGATGCTGGTTGAATCTTGCTGGCCTGATTAGTTTTGTAATTACAACCAAATACAATGGGTTCTTTTCTTAGTGGCTGCAAAGTCAATATGCACAGCTAGAAGGTCAGAGAATAGAGGAAGGTTTATTACCTGCTACCAGCCAGAAGACAGACCACTGTAAATGTTCTGAAAGCAGTGAGTGCCTTTCAGACAAAGGAAGCATGCGGCTTTTATTCAGAAAGCTTGTATGTACTTATGTACAAAATCACTTGGGGTGGACACAGTTCCAAGCATGCTATATTTAAGAAGTACACTATTAGCTAGGCATGGTGGTGCACACCCGTAATCCCAGCACTAAGGGAGGCAGAGGCAAGCGGATCTCTGTGAGTTCTAGACCAGCCTGGCCTACAAAGTGAGTCCAGGACAGCCAAATCTACCCAGAGAAACCCTGTCTCAAAAAACAAACAAACAAAACAAAAACAAACAACAACAACAACAAAAAGAAGTACACTATAGGGTGTGTTCAATTTAAGAGGGAAAGGTAGTGAATGCATCCTTGGACCAGTTTACCTCAGAGCCCTGAGGCACATACACACCATATAAGTATGTGTAAGTGGTGGTCAAGAACACTTCTAGGTGTGTTTAACTGTTGTTATAAAATGAATGAAAATCCCAACTGATTCTTCTTTACCAATAAAGACTCAAGCCAGATGCTGGGGTGAAAACCTGCTAGCTCAGAGAGGCAGAAAAAGCACTCAGCTGACCTTCCTACTCAGCTCACATCTCAGAGAAGCCCAAAAAACCCACTAGCTCAGCTGACAGCCCAGGAGAACAGGGCCAAAAAATCCAAGGCCAAAGGCTTGCGAGCTAAAAGCTCCAAAAGCTCAAAAGCCAGAGAGCTAAAGCCTAAGAGCTTAAGAGCTAAAGCTCCTTTTACTTAATACCCTTCTTTCAAAAGTCTCTCCTTTCTGTTAATCCCTGTCAGCTGGTTACTTGTTCCACTTTTTGACCTAAGATTAACATTATTAAATCCTGTGTACAGAAAGCTCTAGGGTTAAAGGTGTGTGCTAGGGTTGAGCCACAACATAATCACCTGATTACAAAAAACAGAAAGTTTTTGAATTAAAGGTGTGTGTCAGGGTTCAACCACATCAAGCAAGAAACAGGGTTTTATAGTTCACAGTCTTGTGGCTCACAGTGAGATCAAATATCCTGCAACATTGAGCTTGTATTATAAAGATGGCAGACAGGAATTCTTATGGCACACTAAATTTTTTTCAAGAAGTCTTTAGCTGCAACAAAAGGAAAGACACTTTGAAGGTGTGTTCACATACAGGTTTGCCCTGAAGGAGCCAGCCTCATGTGCTGCTGACATAATTACTTCATTCTTCTGTAGGTCTTAGCTGAGATATATTTTTTTAAATAATTAATTTCTAGGGGCTGGAAAAAGCAGGGATTTTGAATATCAGGAATACTGTTTACCAGGCTGTACATCTTAAATGATAGAAAATAAAATCATTATTTAGTAATAATGATTTCTATTCAGATTTTGATGTAAGGTATTGCCACTTTTTGGAATGACCAGTCAGTAATCAGAAATTCCATTATCTTTCCTTGTGCATTACTAGAATTCTAAGTATTCCTGAAGGGTCTTTTTAACAAAAAGGTAGAACTTGACCCAGCTGTTTCATGAGGATTTGTCTCAGCCAGGATGAGGTGGGGCAGGTTTGTTGGTAACAGCTGACTGTTCTCATCACCTTCAAAACATCATCCTGCATATCTGAGAGCCTGGTCTACATTTCTTTGTCTGAGGCTTGCTCCTCACTCATTGCAGAGAGGCCACAGATTTACCCTTATGAGCTTCAGTTCCTCCATAACATGGACTAGGGTAGGCTTCGGTTGTCATGGATTAGCTGCCATGATTATTATCTCTAGGCAAGACCAGTAGATGGACATATTTGGACAGAGCCAGGCTTCAGATAAGCATAAGGGGTTAGAGCTGAGATTGCACAGAAACTATCTGCAACTTTGTGAAGTTGCTTTTCTGAAGAGGCTGCAAATACAAAATTGAGTATGTTCAATTGATTGTTATTTAAGTTTTGATATATTCTATGGTATAATGAAGTATGATGTATTGTACTTAGAAAATAAGGGGAATTATGCTGAGTCCCTTTTCTATGCCAAGCAGTGCATCTGTAATTTAATGTGACACTTCTTTTAATACTTAGAAAGTAGAGAGATGGGTAACGACCAGAAGATGGTAACTGAGATAGGGCCACAGGCCTGAAGAATGGCACAGGTCTTCTTCATACAACATCTCAGAAGGCAGCTTGACTTTTAAAAAAAATGTGTAAACACATTCTGAAATAACTAGAAATGAGTTGTCTTTTGTTTTGCCCTAGGGAGAGAAGAATTACTTGACTCACATCTTCAGTGTTCAGAGTAATTTTTTCCCCCGCATTAACACTTCTTTATTAGAGTATTTTAAAAAGCTGGTGGTGTTATCCATGTTTTGCAGAAGAATAATATGAGATGTTGGAAAGCTTAAAAATAAATGGTTTGGAAATGTTTTGTTTGTATTGTCATAGAAAACAAGCTAGGTTTCATATGGTACATTTAAACCCAGTCTCTGGACAAACAGATGAATAATTCAGCCAAAAGTAAAATATATTAATGTTGAATTGCTATAAAGAGGCATGGGATACAGTGGGTTTATACTTAATTTGTAGATATGCTTTTTATATTTTTTATTACATTTATTCATGTGTGTGTGTATGTGTGTGCACATATACACTTTCAATCCACATGTTATATTCATGTATGTGGAGGTCAGGACAACTTGCTAGAGTGAGTTTTCTCTTTCCACCATGTGATTCCAGAGATCCAACTCGGGTCATTGGGCTTAGTGGCAGGTGCCTTTATCTATTGAGCCATCTCTCTGTGCTGTATGTTTTATCACTCAGTATTTTCCTACAAGTTGCAAATGTGGGGTTGATGCTATTTAAAAGGCATTTTATGAATATTGTTAGGTTTTTTGTTGTTGGGCAAAAAAGCAGACAAAAACAACCCAAGGAAGGAAGGTTTTGTTTCTGCTCAGTGTTTAAGGGTGCAAGGCATCATCACAGGGAACATGGCAGCAGGAGCCTGGGGCAGAGCTGTGTACATTTACATTGCACCCACATTAGGAAGCCCAGAGATGGGGAGAGGACCAGGGTGTGTGCTGCTTTCCCCCTGCTCTGTTCTCCTGGAACATCGCCCCCCCCCCCAGGGGGAGGGGTGTAATCCACACTTAAAATGAGTCTGTCTTACCTCAGTTAACCTAATTTTTAAAACCACTCTAAGACATTCCCAGAGATTTGTTTCCATGGTGATTCTAAATCCCATCATGTTGACAATCAAGATTAACCATCACAAATGCATGCATGCCAAGCATCCAAAAGTTCCCAAGCTCATATCAGCTCTGTGGATAGACTTATGCCTCAGGAAGCCTAGAGGGGAGCTGCATGTGAGTGTGAACCTAACACATGCTCAGAGCCGTAGAGATTTGTAATAAAAGGGAAGGAAGAAAGGCCTGTCTGAGGAACTGCTTTCAGTTGACCCTGATGTCTGCAGAAGAGTAGACACTGGAAGGCAGAAGGTGCAGAATTGCCCAGTCCATTTCACAATTGACTGTTTCACAAGCCATGCTGTCTTCAGTAGCCATGAAAAGAAGGGAATGTACATTAAAAAAAATAATAATAAAAAAACATAAAAATTAAGAAAAGAAGAAAATAATATCCATGAGATTTAATAAACTATCTCCTTCAGTGATACTTCTGTCTATATTTTATCTAACAATAACTATTTGGAGTTTTAATTTGAGAAAACAGCTTAATATAATTTTCATATTGGTTTTCAAACTTTTTTTTTTAATTGGTAGAATCTTAAGAAGATTCAAGAAATGGAAAAGAGTGATGAATCTAGCACAGATCTGGAGGACCTGCAAAATGCAGACTGGGTAAGGAAATGAATATGTTTTCTGATCAGTTTAGCTTTTAAAAATAATTTTTGTAAATGCTGGTTATTAAGGTCTGCAGTATGAATTAGTATATAAATGTGAATGCTTGGTTTTACAAGTGAATATTTTCATTATAAAAACTTATTTTGATAGAGCTGCTGCCATTGTGTCTAGAAATATTGGTTTTAACATTTGTAATTATAAATACCTTAAATAATACTCATGTACTCAAAATCAAAGTTGTGTGTACCCTTGGTTGACATGAAACTTGCTGTGTAGTTTATGTTCAAGCCAAGTTTGATCCACAGAGTCCACACAGCAGAAGGAGAGAGCTGACTCCTGGGAGTTGTCATCTGACTCCCAGAGGCATGGCCTGCTATCCAGATGCTCACACATATACACACATTTACACACAAAATGCATAAATAAATGTAAATTTTTTTAATTAAAGAAAAATGTGAAAGGAGAGAACTGACTTTACAGAGTTGTCCCATGGCTTACATATGCTCCAGGGAGGGTGTGAGGAGCACCCACATATACACATGTCACACCTAATAAGAATAGTAAGAAATCACTTAAGTTTTGAAAAATAATAGTCCAAATTACAGCAGTCGTTGACCAGAACTTCACAAACCTCAAGGGGGGTTCCTGTTGCTTAGATTACCACCTCTTCTTCACAACACCACTTAGATGTATTATCTAGAAAGATGAGAATGAAAGGTGAAAACAGGCAGGGAAATTGAACATTGTAAAGGCAGGGCAGCAAGGGGCTCTGTATGTAAAGGTACTTGAGGCCCTGGCTGACAGCATGAGTCCCATGCTCAGAAGAGAGTGGAAGTCTGTTAGTATACATTGTGAGTGGAGAATAGGTTCCAGGCCTTTCTTAGAAATGTAATCGTTTGTTCTATATAGAAAAAATGTTTTGGTTTTGCAGATAGGACCTAGAAATTCATACATACTGACCACCTTCTCTGTCAGTGAGTGACATTTCCTGAATGTGGGAAACGTCTATGACTTTATAATAAATACATTTAGGTAGCTACTGAAGTCACATTAATTTTGATAAGGGACATTATAATTAAATACCGTATTGATTGACTTTTCACTGAAGTAGACAATGATAGATAAGACAGGAGAACAGATTAAGGAGTAATGCACATTTTAGTATATGTTATACTAAGTACTTTGATGTCTCATTTTATTCTCAGAACTCTTGAAAATAGATGTAGCAACTGATTTCTACATAAGAAAACTGATTATAGGATGTATACTAGGTAATGTAAAGTCATCATTTGGAGCGTTTTATATTTATAAAATATATCAATTCTTCATTACTATTTATTTTTTATCGATGCAATGAACTCAGAAAAAAAGCAAGTGCTGGTGTCGGAAGCTAAAGCAAGGGCTTGTATCCAGCAGCTGCAGCAGCGCTGTTATGCTGACTCAGGCTCAAGTGGACAGGAGTAAACTTCCCTAGCTCACTCACCATCTGCAGGGCAGCCATGGCTTCTTTGCTGTGCCCCAGGAACAGTGCCAGAGTAGGCTTGAAGAAGCACAAGGACAACTTGCTGTATCTGTGCTGTTGTCCCCCTCCACCTCTCTGTCTCTGTCTCTCTCTCTTTCACACACACACACACACACACACACACACACACACACACACACACGGCCAAATCCAAAGTCAAGGTGTAGGGAATACACCCTTTCAGTAAGCAGTCTCAAAGTGGTATATATTGGAGACATATCTTTTAATGCAGCCTACTGACTTTTCTCTGCGTCCTGTGAAATCCTAAAATGTAACATGTTTCCTTTACTTGGTGTTTTATAATCTATGCCTTACCTTGGTTCTCTGTGACTGTAACCATTCAGAGAAAACTAATGGATTTATTTATTGATAACTATCCATTCTTGGTTCTTTCAGGCACGGTTCTGGGTACAGGTGATGAGGGATTTGCGAAATGGGGTAAAACTTAAGAAAGTCCAACAGCGGCAGTACAACCCTTTGCCCATTGAATACCAGCTCACCCCTTACGAGATGCTCATGGACGATATTCGGTGCAAAAGATACACCTTGAGAAAAGTGATGGTAAGCACTCAAATGGTTGCCTATGGCTTATTTGTTGGAAATGGGCTACTTAGGTATTATTTCTTCTCATAAAATACTTGATCACTGTAGAAAACTTGGAAAATACATTAAGCTTAAAGAAGGAAAGTTATAAATGTGCCATTTTATAACCAAGAGACATTTTGTTATCATGTTGCTTTGCCATTTGCATTTATATTCATCCTCCCTCCCTCCCTCCCTCCCTCCCTCCCTCCCTCCCTCCCTCCCTCCTTTCCTCTGTTTTCTGGTGGGTTTTATTGTTCTTGTTTCAAGACAGGATCCTGCTGTGTTGCACTGGCTGCCCTAGAACCCACCATGTAGACCAGACTGTCTCAAGAGTGGTCCTCCCGCCTCTCCCTCTGTCTCCTGAGTGCCAACAATTGAAGCCTCAGTCTTGTTTCTGCATTTTATTGGACAAAATGGGCTGATTTCTGTTTATAGCTATTATACTTGTTTCATGTTGTGACTATTCTTCTGTGTCATTAGCTCAGCATTACTACTAGTGAATGGTTATCTATTTTCTAGCTTATGGCTGTGTCAGAGGTCATTAAAATAATTGAGTCAATATCAGGTAATAGCAGGCTGTTTGTGTTTCCTGCTCTATATATCTTTATTAATAGCTAGACAGTGAGGTCCTTGAGCCAAGTTCTGACGAAAGGAATGTCTAGCCCATGAACAAATCCTGGAAGCTCTGCCTTGAAAATGTCTCCTGTGGAACCACTTCTCCCCAGTCCTGTGTCCTATGCTTGCCAACTCATCTCTCATTGAGACTGTCACAGGGCCTCAACCATGCTCCTCTTGGCTGGGCTCACAAATGCACAGTACCACATCTTTACATTTTAGCCTTTTCCCCCAATATATGGTCTGTCCTGGAGAAATCATGTGCCCTTAAGAAAAATATATATTCTAAGGCTGTTGGGTATGGTAACGCACTTGTGATTGCTAGTACTCAGATTACAGGTAGAAGGATCTTGAGTTCAAGGCTGCATAAATTATGTCACAAGACTGTCTCAGGAAAGAATAGGAGAGAGGGAGAGGCAAAAATGAGGGGAGAGAGGGATAGCCTATCATTGGGTGGAGAGTTCTCCCAGCTAACTTAGGGAATTGTTCAAATCCCTCTTTGTTGTTGTTGCTCTTCTGTCTCGTTCAACACACTGTTATAAAGTATTAAAGTCTCCAGCTACTGTGGAATTGCTCATTTCGCTTGCAGTGTTTGTTCATATAGCGTGGACTGTAGTTTGGTACATATATACTTACAGATGTTACATTTTCAATATCTAGTGTCTGGTTTGATAGCTTTTTCCTAGACATCTATTTTTTTCTGTTGTAAATATTGCTGACATGGCTCTTTTCTTTCATTGCTCACTGTCTGCACTGATATCCTTTTCCGTCCTTCACCCTAAAGCTTATGCATGTTACATATTTTTTTTTCTTTTTAAATATTTATATATTTATTTGAGTGCTGTGCCTGCATGTATGTAAGGGAACTGTGGGCATGCCTGGTGTCCAAGGGGCTGGAAGGAGGTGCCAGGTACTCTGGAATTGGAGTTACAGGTGGTAGTGAGCAGCTACGTAGGTGCTGGGAAGGTGCTGGGCCTTCTGTAGCCCATGTGCTCCCTGAGTCATTTCTCCAGCCCCTTTTAAATTTTATATTGATTTTAAAAGTAATTCACTCACTGAAAAAAATCACAAAATATGACTAAAATTAAAATTTAGTTCTACCATTTTGTAATATGTTTACTTCTTGAGATTTTATGTATTATTGTATATAATTTAATTATGTACTCTTGTAATACCATATAAACTTTCTCCTCTGTCAAATATGGGTAAACTTGGCTCTATACCATAAAATATAATTTATATCATTTTTAAAAGAGTCTCTGTATATCGGTATTTTGCCTGCATGTGTGTATGCCTTGTGCATACCTGGTATCCTTAGAGGTCAGAAGGCATCATTGACTCCCCTGGAACTGGAGTTATAAATGGTCGTGAGCTACCATGTGAGTGGTAGGAACCAAACTCAGGTCCTCTGCAAGAGCAACAGGTGTTTTTAAACACTGGGTTAACTCTCCAGCCCCTTTTATTATTTAAAAAAAATTTTTTTTCTTGTCATTTTGAGGCAGAGTCTAATGTAACCCTGCCTGGCTTTGAACTCTGAATGTAGGTAGCTAAGGATGCTCCTAAGTCCCTGTTCCTCCCAGCTATACCTTTTGAGTTCTAGAATCAAAAACATGCCAGCATTCCCAGCTGATTTAAAATTTGAAAATGATTTAGTTTAAGTACATAGTGCATTTGCATTATTCTAAATGATGAATTTACGGTCTGCATTTGAGGAGTTGCCCTCTCATAGGCTTGTTTCTTAGAGGCCACCAAGCTTGTTGCCTGTGTTGCTTCTGTTTTGCATGGCAGTGCTTCCCTGTTACCTGACTGCGTGCACATCTCTGCCACCTTCCAGATCCTGCAGTGTCTGTATCTGCTGATTACATTGTTGAGAACATGTGAAAAGCTTTTACTACTTTCCATTATTTTTTCCCTTAGCCTGCAGAAGTTTCACTGGCATTGTCCTACTTACATATTGCTGTCCTTTGCTCAACCCTTCCCCCATGCTACATCCCATCTTCTCAAATAGTCCCACTGCTCTCACAGGCTACATACTTTTATGGAGCCAAGGCAGTCTACAATTTTTTAAAGATTTATTGTATTCCATTTTAATTGTGTGTAGATATGTGTCTGTGTAGGTAAGTGGACATTAGTGCGGGTGCCCATGGAGGCCAGAACACTCAGATCCCTTGAAACTAGAGTCATAGACAAGTTGTGGGCATAGAGGTCCTTGTACTCGAAGAAAAGCCTTAAGGAAAACCAGGAATGTTAGACACACAGGGGCCTCTTCTCATTGGAGGAGATAAAAATACTTTGTTTTTCTACCCAGAAGGCTAGGAATGGATTTTGTTAATGACCTAGTGACTTTTGTGCTATCTGTGAAGGCAGACCTCACCCACCTTTTGCTATAGAGGCAAGACCTCACCCAAATTCCCCAGTGATTATCCTAGGCCCTTCCCTAGGATATGCACAAGTACTTCCCTAGGGAATGCACAAGTACTCTATGGCCTGCTGACCTCTATGCTAGAGACCACACTAGATTCTAGGCCTTTTAACTACAGTCCATGGTCACGTGTACTTTGTAAAGGAGCTTCTATGCTCTCTCACCGTCAACTTTATTGTATGTCTGGAATCAGACTAACTGGACTGATTGACGCCGAGAAACCTTTTCCAAAATTGTGCTGTGTCTTAAATGCTGACAGTGAACTGCTGGCATTAGACTCCCCAACGTCTGGTCCAGATGGACGAAGGAAGTCTGCACTGGGTTTTTATTCTTCTCTCTTAGGTTACTGCCTACATTGACCCTGCCAGGACCCCCACATAGACAGTTCTGAGCCACCAAGTGTGGGTGCTGGGAGCTGGTCCTCTGAAGGAGCAGCAAGTACTCTTAATTGTTAAGCCACCCCCACTTAGCCCATGCTCTACAATTATTAATAGCCTTACAATTATTAATAGGTCTACAGTTATTAATCTATAACATGAGCAAACCAAGTTGAGCTAATCTATTGTTGGTTTACTATTTTAAATTTTTTTAAAGATTTATTTATGTATACAATATTCTGCTTACATGTATACCTGCACACCAGAAGAGGGCACATTATAGATCATATTATAGATGATTGTGAGCCACCATGTGGTTGTCGGGAATCGAACTCAGGACCTTTGGAAGAGCAGCCAGTGTTCTTAACCTCTGAGCCATCTCTCCAGCTCATTTTTAATATTTTTTACTATGAATTCTAGCCACACAGTTACTGGCTTAGTGGATCTACATGTCTCTAAGGCAGTGATTCTCACCTTCCTAAGGTTGCCACCCTTTTCTACAGTTCCTCGTGTTGTGGTGACCCTCAGCTATAAAATTATTTTCATTTCTACTTCATAACAGTAACTTTGCTGCTGTTGTGAAGCAAATGTAAATATCTATATGCAACTCCCAAGGGGTCATGACCCACAGGTCAAGAACCATTGCTCTAAGGACTAACGAGTATTGCCAGATTGTCTACTATACTTGTAAGCCATCTTGTGGCTTGAAAGTCAGATATACATATTTGAAGTAATTCTGAATTCTAAGATAGTTCTAAAGAAGCTGTTTATTTAGAACACGAGCCAGGGCCTCATCAAGTAATAGAGTTTTTTTCAATGCTTTCAGCGTTTGGCATTAACAGGGAAATGTACATTTCAGCTTTAAGGTGCTTGCTGAAGTGCAGCATCAGTGAATCTGAAGACTTCATTTCCAAAGAGTTGCTAAAAGGGAAGACTGTAAGGTGTGAGCATTGAGTGGATGGCAACAAAACAACTTCCTTTTATCTGTTTTACTTCAAATTCAGCTGCCTAAAAATGTTTCCTTAAGAAACAAGACAATTCAGGGTCGTTTTAAAATAATTAAATCACTTTTTGTATACTAGAGGATTTTTGAGGCTGGCATGGTGCCATACACCTATAATCCCAGAACTCTGGAGGCAGAGGCAGGCAGATCTCTGAGAGTTCGAGACCAGTGAGTCCAGGATAGCCAAGGCTACACCGAGAAACCCTGTCTCAAAACAAATAAACAAACAAAAAAGATTTTTGTTGTAAGACGTTGTGCCTCCAAAATATGATCAAAGTTTCTGTGATTGATCTTATTTTATTCGAGTTAACAATTTGTTTGTCTGGAATCATTTTTTATTTCATTTGGACTGCTTGTTGTGTCTTGGCAAGTGTTGGAAGTCCACAGTAAGGGTCATGCCACACAGGGCTCTGATTCTGTGGCTAGATCCTACACACACACCTGGTTGTTCTGGAACTCGATCTGTAGGCCAGGCTGACTTTGAACTCACAGAGCTCCACTTACCTCTGTGCTGAGGCCAAAGGTGTGCACCGCCACCACCCTTACAGCTCTCCTTCTTAAGCCAGGCACTGCCACTCACATGTTCAGCTGGGCTCTCCAGGGATTGCTGCTGATGCCTGCTATGGAGCCTGGGTATAGGGCACAGGGAGGAAGGGGGTGGTGCTAGGGAGATCCCAGTGCAGTTGTCATAGGGGAAGGATCAGGCCTGAGATGGCAGTTCAGCCTGTTGTGTTTAAATAAGACCAGGAAACAAACCCAGGTATGATAGTGCATACCTGTGACCCAGCACTTTGGATGTAGAAACAAGAAGATTGGAAGGTTAGGGTTCCCTTCCACTGCATATCAAGTTCAAAGCCAGTCTGGGGTATACAAGGCCTTATCCCAAAAACCAACCCTTTAAAAAAGATGGGAAAACGTGATAAAGTGGCTACAATTGTGCCATCGGGGAGTCAGAATCTCAGTTATTAAATGTACAGTATTGACCCCTTTAGTCACCTGATTTGTTTTGTTTTGTTTTTGTCTCCTTTTAGGTAAATGGTGACATTCCCCCTCGGTTAAGAAAGAGTGCTCATGAGATCATTCTTGACTTCATCAGATCAAGACCCCCTTTAAATCCAGTACGTAACTTAACATACTCTTCCCAGGGATGGGTCTGTAGCACTCCACTAAGCTTTCCCTTGAGAGCATGAAGCCCACATGTTGTTATAAAGAAAGAAAATTCCAGTCATTCAATTTTACCAATAAAGACTCAGGAGCCAGATGCTGGGGTGAAAACCTGTTAGCTCAGAGAGGCAGAGAAAGTACCCAGCTGACCTTCCTCCTCAGCTGACATCCCAGAAGGAACAAGCTGAAAAAGCTCCTTCTCTACACTGTCTTCTCTCAGTGTATCTCAATTTTGTTTAATCCCTGCCAGCTGGTTTCTTGCTCTGCCTCTTCACCCAGAGTTAACTTTATTAAATCCTATGTACAGAAAGCTCTTGGATTAAAGGTGTGTGCTAGGGCTGAACCACACCAAACAAAACACAGGATTTTACAGTTCACAATCTCAGGGTTCACAATGAGATCAAATATCCTGCAACACCCACCTATAAGTTACACTCTAAAGCACAGAGATATACCTTCAGTTTTTAAATACAAATATCTGGTATGTTTTCACTTGGAACAACCTGAATCGTAGTACAAAATCTGGTTGAATACTTTGTATAATGGCTGAAAACTATTACCACGTTTTTGACATGAGTTACCTTTCCAACTTACATCATAATGCTACTACTCTGTTTAGACCACACTATCCTACTGCTCATTTACAGTAAATGTGCTCTCACTTTTATGTTAGCATCTTCTGTTGGCATGTTTTTTCCTAATGACCACAGAATGAGAATACTCTTTGAAATGCTCTTTGTGTTTCTTTTTTTAAAGATTTATTTATTTATTATGTATACAGTGTTCTGTCGGCATGTGCACCTGCAGGCGAGAAGAGGGCACCAGATCTCATTATAGATGGTTATAAACTACCATGTGGATGCTGGGAATTAAACTCAAGACCTCTGGAAGAGCAGACAGTGCTCTTAACATCTGAGCCGTATCTCCAGCCTTCTGTGCTTCTTAACTTCTTTTCCTCCCAACTCAAAAGCCAGCTCCCACCAAATTATCTCAAGCCTATGTACATAAAAAAAAACAGCGAGGGTAGAGGAATTTTCTCCCAGTTTGTAGATTTGCATAATCAGTTGTCCTTTTAGGTCTTTCTGCAAAAAGGCGCAAGTGTTGACGGATTAGAGAGGGATCAGATGAACCCGATAATTTGCACTGGCTTCGAAGTCTAGCTCATTGTGGCTCTAAACAAGTTAACCTGCTTCTCACTTCTGTGTCCTCATAAGTAGACTGAAGACAACAATAAGCCAAGGTGCTAGTTAGAAATGTCGCTTTTAGACAGATAGTGTGGGCCACCCTTATAATCTTAACATCCTCAGGCTGAGGCTCAGGGATTGCCACAGTTTGAGACCAATCTGGACTACAGAATAAGACTGAGTCTCAAAATAGTAGCAATAATCCCCCAAAACAGTGTTCTAAAACAGTGACTTATAGGGACATGGTTATAACTTTAGCAGAACTGACTATTTCAGTTTCCCTGAGCACATATAATTGTATTGCTGGGAGACCCAATAATCTGTTGCATTAGAGATCCTGACATGGGGGCTTGAGAGATGGCTTAGTAGGTAAAGATGCCTGCCATCAAGCCTGGTAGCCTGCATTCTTTGCTCAAGATCCCACACTGTGGACGGTGTGAACTCATTCCCTTGAATTGTTGTCTGACCTCCACTCATGTACAAGCACACAAAATTAATTTTATATATATATATATATATATATATATATATATATATATATATATATACACACACACACACATGTGTCTAATCATATATATAAATAATTTAAAAATTAAAAGGAGAAATCTTGATTGAATCTTGATTTGAATAGTCTATTGGGCAAATTACAGTCAGTTCATAATTCTATATTGTATGACGACTTTATTAGGTAAAGACAGTTAATCAAGTCTCTACTAACCATTGTGCTTCAAGGCTTCAGCCAGAAAACTGAAACCAACCCCACCTCGGCCACGGAGCCTACATGAAAGAATATTGGAAGAAATTAAAGCAGAAAGAAAGCTTCGACCTGTCTCACCAGAAGAAATTAGACGAGGCAGGCTAGGTGAGTTTCCTCTTCTAGTACTCATGAGTCCACCACTGAGAAAAATGTGTTTGTATTTACACACGTAAAAATAACTCACAGAATTCTCAGTTCCTGTCTCTAGACCGTGTTCTCCTGTCTCCTCACTTCCTTCCTTCCCCTCTCCCCCTAACTATTGCTCACACACATATACCCTCACATTTGCTTACATTTGACATTCATGTGACATGACAGTTTTGTTTCTGTGATGTTGAACTGTGTGAGAGATTTGTGGCATAATGGCAAGAGCACTGCCAATTTTATGCTGAGGTTTGAGGATTACCCTTGTGGTGGCTTGAATAGGAGAGGTCCCCTTGGACTTGTGTGCCCATGCGGAGTGGCACTATCAGGAGGGGTGGTCTTGCTGGAGGAAGTGTGTCACTGTCACTGTGGAGGCAGCCTTTGAGGTCTTACATGCTCAGGATACACTCAGCGTGGCACACAGTCTCCTGCTGCTTCCTCTAGATCAAGATGGAGAACTCTCGGCTCGTCTCCTACATCATGTCTGCCTGCATGCTGCCATGCTTCCCACCATGATGATATTGGATTAAACCCCTGAAACTGTTAGCCAGCCCCAATTAAATGCTTTCCTTTATAAGAGTTGCCATGGTCATGGTGTCTCTTCACAGCAATAAATTCCTAAGATAACACTTTCCCCCTTTTTAAATACAACTATCAGCAGAAAGACAAATAAAAGATCTTACCTCTGTTATATTTTTTATAAGAACTAAATAAGATCATGGTAAAAAGAGGAAAGAAAACCTTATAAACTAACGGGTACAAGTAAAGGTGATACATACATAGCACAAAGATCCTTCTAACTGTGTGTGTGTGTGTACAGGTACTTCTGTATATGCACATGCAGAAGCCAGAGGTCAACATGAGGTAGTCTTCTGCCATCGTCTACCATGTTTTAAGACAAAAAATTTCACTTCTCTTGTTCACTGTTGCAGCTAAGCTAGCTGGCCCAGCAAGCCCCTGGAATCCGTCTATTTCTACCCTTTTCATCGCTAGGGTCACAGCTGTTTCATGAGAGATGGGAATCCAAACTCAGGGCCTCGTGCCCCTGCAACAAGCCTTTTGCCCATTGAGCTCTGATTTCCATGGTGGCTATACCATTTGTGTTCTCTCCAGCAGCAGCAAATGCCCTAGTTCTGCATCCTTGTTCCACCATGGGGGCCTTCGAGGCGTCTTTGTTTGAAGTAACCATCTTGACATATCTCATTTCTCATTGTAGTTTAGGTTTTCATGTCCCTAGTGATTGATGATTGATGTTTGAGCATTCTTTCTTGTAGTTGTGAACTATTTTTGTTTCACCTTTGGATTGTCTATTTAGGTTCTTTGCTTACTTTTAAGTCCAGGCTATCAATTATTTTATTATTGAGTTGTTAGCATTTTTGTTATGTATTTTGACTGTTAACCTTATGAGTTGTGTAGTCAACAAGTTCCTTTCCTCCATGAAGGAAGCTGTTTCTCAACTGTAAGGGTCCTATTGCAGCAGGAATGGCAGGAGTGTGAAACAGATGAGGACTAGAAGTGCATTCCTAATGTCTGTCAGTCCCTGCCCCTGTAGGCCCCATAGACTCCCATGAGCCCAGGGGGACATTCACATTCAAACCATTGCATCATGAGAATTGCAGGACTGGCTTTTCTCTTTCTGGGAAAACTACCATTAAGATTCCATGGAGTAGGTAGGAGGCTGAAGAAGTGCATCAGCATCCAGGTGCCCTTGAAGGCACACACATGTATGTATGTGGTATACATACTTAATGCAAGCAAAACGCTCATAATATGAAATTAATCTCTTTAAAAATTTGTTAAAAAGAAGATACTCTGGAGACCTGGGGATACAGCTATCTGGTAGAGTGTTTGCTTATCATGAGTGAAGCCGTAAATTTAATCTCTAGGCGTAGTGGCACATGCATTTGATGCTAACAATCAAGACACAGAGGTAGAAGGGTCTTTGCAAGTTTGAGGCTAACCTGTTCTACATGGTGAGACCCTCAACAAAAAAGAAGAAAAGAAAAAGGACTTTCTGGGAACACACCTATAATAATCTCAGTGAAGTAATTTCTCTGTGTTCCCAGATTGCTGCGGTTTTCAACCTGAAGGTTTTAAAGATGACCATGTGTTTTTTTTAATCCTCTATTCGGTTAATTATGTATCACATTGTTTGCATCTGGTTTGCGTCTTGTCTTGGTTTGGTAAACACTTCGACCAAAAGCGGTTTAGGGGAGGAAAAGATTGATTGCAGCTTATACTTCCAGGTCACAGTCTACCACTGAGAGGTGTCAGGGCTGGAACTAAAGTAGGAACCAAGGAGAATGCTGCTTATGGCGGTTTGCTCACTGGCTCCTGCTCATCTAAGATTCTACAGCAGAGGTCCACCTTATAGAGATGGCCTCCCTCATCAGTCACCACTCAAGGCAGTCTCTGACAAGACAGTCTGACCAAGGCAATAATACTTCAGCTGAGTCCCCCCCCCCCCCCAAGTGAATTTAGGTTGTATCAAGGTAATAAATACTAACTAACATACCATGCTTGTATCCCAGGAATAAATCCCACCTAGTCATGGTGTGTGGCCTTTTAATGTGCTGCTGGAATGGTGTGAGAGTAGTTTTTAAGGTTTTGTTTCTTTGTGTTTTAGCTTCAGTGTTTTTCCTTCTTCTGTGTTTAGAACAGTTTGGAAAAGATTGGAAGTAATTCGTCTGTCAAGGTTTGGTGGAATCATGGGTGAAACAATCTAATCTTAGCCCTAGCTGTCCTGGAACTCACTCTGTAGACTAGCCTAGACTTGAACTCAGAGATCTGCCTACCTCTGCCTCCCAAGCACTAGACTAAAGGCGAGTGCATGACACCTGGCTGCAAGACTGTTCCTATTGGAAGTTTTTCATTTTGTTTTTTGAGACAGTACCTCATAGTTGAGGTGCTCCTCAAACTTGCTATATAGCTAAGGATTGATTCAGATTGCTGACATTATAGCTGTGTGCCACTACTCCTGACTCTTTTGTTTGTTTTCCTGAGACAGGGTCTCATTATGTAGCCCTGACAGTCCTCAAACTCACTGTATAGACCATGCTGGCTTCAAACTTACAGTGATCCTCCTGCCTCTGCCTCCTGAGTGCTGAGATCACAGGTTGGTAACTTTTGGACTACTAACCCGGTCTCTCAAAGCAGGCCTTCTCATACATATTTCTCTGTTTCACTTATTAAGATTTTATTTAAAGGCTATGAGGAAAAGAATCCTGCTTTACAACAGTTAAAGGACAAATTGATGTTGCATTTGCTGTATTTTAACCTGAGCATTGATGTTTCACAGTGTCTTGTATTGAGCAGTTGTAGAAAGTGATTGTTCAGAGGCTGGTGAGGTGGCTCAGCTGCTTAAGGCACTTGCCACCAAACTGGACGACCCAGGCTTCATCTCCAGTAAGACCTGCTTGGCAGAAGGAAAATTTCTTACATTGTCCCCCTCCACACACACAATTAAATTATTCTGGGATTCTGTTTACTTTATTTTTTAATTATTTATTTTTGTTTTATGAACATTGATTGGTGTTTTGCCTGCATGTATGTCTATGTGAGAATGTCAGATTTTCTGGAACTGGTACTTACAGACAGTTGTGAGCTGCCATGTGGGTGCAGAGAATTTAACCCATGTCCTCTGAAAGAGCAGCCAGTGTTCTTAACAGCTAAGCCATCTCTCCAGTCCTTATTCTGGGATTCTTGCTTCTAGAATTCTGAGTTTAAACTAATCTCAAACCTCAAATGGAAAGTAAGAAATTTTGCTCCCCACCCTCACTCCATTATGTTGGGTTTTTCTGTAGACTTGTATTTTGGGGTGTTTAGCTCGGATAGGATTGGCAGGATTAACTTGAAGAAAAACAAGTTTCTCTAAATCTTTTTGTTTTTTCCCCCCTATAATTCCAAGTAGAGACAATGCAGATACTGGGGGAATGTCTTAAGGTTCAAGAGAGGATTGCCCATAATTTCAAAGTCTATGGGCATCCACTGTGAACTTGTGCATTATGAAATAACAGTGAGGGCTGAGGGATGGCACAGTCAGTAAGCACTTGGCTTCAAGCAGGAGGGTTTGTGTTCAATCCTAGAAGCCATATACAAATGCCTAACTCAGTGGTGCAATGCTGGTAATCCCTTCTTTGAGGGAGATGGGGGAGAAAGGATCCTGAGGCTCACTGGCCAGCCAATCTAGCCTAATTGGTAAATTCCATGCCATTGAAAGACATAACCCAAGGGGAGTAGAAGACCTTCCAAATGGTCCTTCAGCCCCCATATACACTTCCATGCATAAAAAAATAAAGTAAAAGATGTTTAAATAGCCAGGCAGTAGTGGCACACACTTTAATTCCAGCACTGAGGAGGCAGAGGGCAGGAGGATCTCTGTGTTTGAAACCAGCCTGTTCTACAGCCAACTACACAAAGAAACCCTGTCTTGAAAAACAAACAAACAAAATTAATAATGAAAAAAACTACAATATGTTATTCTGTTCTCTTGGTTTAATATTGGGCATGGTCTGAACATCTTTCATTCTTTAAATATAAATCAAACCATGATTTTTTAGGACATGATCTCCCAACTGAAAGGATGTATTTACCTACCCCTCTACTGTTGTATGATCCATTTACATTTTTTCCTATCCAATCTGAAATTACTATTATTGTACCTTAGTCTCTGTTCATGTCACTGTTATTTTTCTTTTCTAAATATCTTAATTACTATGATCCTTCACTGTTGTCCTTTTTAATATATAGAGCTGAAAATAAGATCCTCAGTTAGGGATCTCACTCAGACCCAAAACAAACAACAAAATGAGAGGCTAAGAACGCAGCTCAGTGGGTAGAGTGTTTGTCCTCCCTGCAAAAATCCCAGGTTCAGTTAGCATAACAAAGACAAAAGAAGAGACAAAAACAGACCTCATCTCCCAAGAAGGATTGCATTCCTCTTGTGTGTGGTGGTCAGGTCATTCAAGTTAATGTTCATGTACCAGAGAAGAACTCAATAGACTATTAGCAAACTTGATTAAAGAGTGGCTTGAGAATATGTATTATTTTATTTGCTAAACTTAGCAAGGGAAATCTAGAATATATTTAAGTTTAGAACTGAGTAACTTATTTTTTGAATGGCAAGTGGAAACAGTATCATCAACACAAAATCCCTATCCACTTGCTTGAAACATCTAAACATCTAACTTGTATGTTAGGAAGGAAATGCCTAAACTCTTAGTTCCTGACCATCAAACATTATTATTTACAACTTACTTATTATTTGATGAAGATAACTTTTGACTAAAACAGACTACTGCATGCACAAGGAATGCAGTCATTTCTTTAGAGATGAGGTTCATATTTTTTCTCTTTAGCTTGTTTTCATTCTTAGTGATTCTCTAAGCTGTTATTTTTTATTTTCATTGTTACTCTGTCATTGTCATAGACCTGGAGCGAAGACTCTTGTGTGACTTTATTATTTTTCAGACTTGTATCCACTATATCCACTAGCTTCTAGACTCCCAAGTGTCAGTGAGAGCTGACCCTGCCCCCTGTCCTGTCTCCTTGTACATCCCTAATGGCTGAATTACTTTCTCTTTATTGTTTTTCTTTTTTTCTTTTCAGCAATGCGGCCACTTAGCATGTCTCACAGTTTTGACTTGTCAGGTAAAAAAAAAAAAAAAAAAAGCACTTTCACGCCTGACATGGTTGTGTGGTTTCTGTGAATCACATTCATTTGTCTGCTTGTTTAAACATGTCAGAAAAGAAAATTGAAAGGCTTTCTTTTAAGCTGTGGTCAGTAAAATAAACTAGGCTACCTATTTCAAAGCAGCAACACGTAATTAAAACCACAGTGAACGTTGAGCCTCACAGAAGAGCGGCACTGCCATGGGCAGGCAGTAGATTCCCTCGGTCGCCCTGTGGTAGCTCTCGCTGGGTCAGATCTTTTCTGTAAGGGAACAGAAACACTGCAAAGCAACAGTTTTCAAGTGCTCTGTCCTCTGGAACACTGAGCGCCTTGGTGACCAGAAGCTATACTCCTCTGCTTCCTGGTTCGAGCCTGCCATTCACGGCTCTGTGCAGGTCACAGAAGGCCACTGTCAGGGCCTCTCTGACTTGTGCCTGAAGTTTACAGCCTGCTTCACATTTTCTGTTTAGTAGACCAGGAGGATGGATAAATGTATAACTGAAAATGGCTCTGTTTGATTATAAATTTAGATATTTTTAAAATAAAATTTAAAATATCTTTATGAGCAAATTTTCATATTTTTCTTAATTCTTATATTTTACAAATTCAAATTTTTTAATTTCACAAATCACTGTTTCCTACTAAAATGAGAAAAGGTGTTTTCTTCCAGAATCTTCTTTGAAATATTATGAAATACTTAAGTCACAAAGAATTGTTTGTGTACAAATTCATGTGTTCCAAGCCAGCGAGTTCTAGTGTCTTTTTCTAGTGTCATATTATTGAATATTTACTGTCTTCTAACTACAAGCTAGTTTCCATGTGTATTTTTAATTTTCTGTTTACTTTTGTAGCTGTCAGGTATGACTAATATTTTGGTCTTCACTTAACTATTTTTGACTGACCACCAAAGAGCCTTTTCTTTTTTCTTTGTCCATTTGCTAATTTTATTTATTTTATGAACCACTGTACAGTGAACCTGTAAAAATTTTAGACTGGAAAATAAAACAAAAAATTTTGACCATGTATGTTATGACTAACCTCTAAACGCTGGCCAAATACCCTCCACACCCTGTCACTCTGAAGAGCTGCTGCTCATGTGTCTACTGGTTATGGAAGGAGTAGAAGGCTAAGCCAGGCACAGAGGCGCATGCCTGTAATCCCAGTACCTTAAGAGGCAGAGGCAAGTGGATCTCTGTGAGTTCCGGGCCAGCCTAGTCTACAAAGTGAGACCAGGACAGCCAAGGCTACACAGAGAACCCCTGTCTTTAAAAGAACAAACAAACAAACAAAAAACAAAACATGAAAAAGAAAAGTAGAAGGCTACCTAAGCACATGGATTGCCAGCTGGAATGTGGCTGATGAGGGCAATACGCAGCTCTTGAACATGTTCTCATGCGTGGTCTCTGGTGGTCTTACAGGCTCATGGTGGCCCTCTATCTATAGCAGGGCAGCGCTGTGTTGCCAGTGTCCATTGTCTGCTGTGCTCTTGTCTGTGTGAGTCCCAGAGCTTTGCTGTTGACCTTTGTGCTGCTTTTGTTGTTCATTGTTGCACTTGACTATTAACTAAAATCCCAGGTTATAAGTCGGAAGATTAATCTTTTCTTCCAAATTTAAAGACCAAAGTATGTCATGTTAGTAGAAGAATGAACAAACTAAGGAGTAAACAGCCTAAATGAAGCATAGATAGTGACTTTGAACCTGAGTGTAGAGTGAGATATAAGGAAGTATATGCTGCTGTTCAGGTGTGTCTTAGAAATATTTCTTAGTGAAAATCCTAATAAGCCGTTCAACATCAATTGAGGTAAGTCTGATTTATTTTTCCTATGCAAATATTAAACATATAATCCATGATCCAGTCACATTTCCTCCTGCTAAAAAAAGCAGCACACAGAATTATTTAAGTATTTAATATCATGGGTATGCCTTTTTAGACTCTGAATCTAAGACATGGTAATTTCTAAAAACCATCTTATTTTATATCTTTAACATTTGTCCTACATATAGATTTTATTTTTCCCTCGAAATGCTGTTTTTAAGAGTGACCTTTCTGGGGCCTGGAGAGATGGCTCAGAGGTTAAGGGCACTGGTTGCTCTTCCAGAGGACCTGAGTTCAGTTCCCAGCACCCACATAGTGGCTCACAACCGTCTATAATGAAATCTGGTGCCCTCTTCTGACGTTCAAGTGTACATGCAGCCAGAACACTGTATATATAGTAAATAAATCTTTAAAAAAAAGTTTGACTTTTCTCACTTAATACACTAAAATAATAGTATTTATTATTTCAGTAGTAAGTATAAATAATCAAACTTTTAAAGGTATGTCCTCCCAACTCTTAAAGGAAATGAAGCTGCACATTGTCTAGTGTTGGAGATCACCAGAAGCCTCCTTGCAGAACCTTTTACCAGTCACATTCCCCTCACATTCCCCGGTAGATGTCTGTCTAGGTCATCTCTGTCAGTGAACCGCATGACAGCTGTTGAAAAGCTTCTCCTATCCCTGCTTCACAAGGAAATGAGCCAGGGTCACCTTTGTCATTTTGTGGCCTTCCCTAAACTTCAGTTCAGGTGTCATTTTACCAACTTCTCCCCATTTTTGTGTGCGTGTGTATGAGAGAGACTAATGTGGACTGAACTCCCAGAGTATTGCACTGGGTGGCCAAGGGCTAAGCCATCTGAGTTACTGCCCTACCTCTTTGTTTATTTGTGTTTTCTTTTAAGTGTGTTTTGTTTGTTTGTTGAGTCAGGGTCTCCTGTAGCCCAGGCTAGCTCAAACTTGCTGTTTAGCCTGGAATAACTTCTGGCACTCCTGCTTCCACTCCTGAGTGCTAAGATTACAGGGGATACTGCCATACTGGATTTGTGTGCTGTGGGGAGAGAAGCTGAGCCTGGCATGTCCTCTACCAATGGAGTCCTTGTTTGGAGGCGGGCTGCTTAGGCTTTGCACCGCCACACCAGGCTTTGGGTTTTGCCTGTTGTTTTAGACAGGATTCTCTAGAGAAACAACTGATAGGATGAAACAGAGTGTCTTGGCTTACAAGTTGTGGTCTGACTATTCCAGTGATGTCTGTCTCCTGATAGAAAGTCCAAGAATTTAATGTTGTTCGGTCCAAGAGGCTGGATGTCTCAGACAGTCTTAGGTAGACAAGTGAGAGTGAGGACAAACAGGCAAAGAGCACTTCTTTCTGTTTCTTATATAGGTTGCCACCAGATGTGGCCTAGTTAAGGTGGCTCTTCCCACCCCAAAAGTTCTGTATTTAGGGTGTGTCTTCCCAATTGAAATTATTTAATTAAGAAAAATCCCTCACAGTTGTACTCAGCCTCTTGGGCTTTAGTTAATTACAGAAGTAGTCAACAGCCAAGAATAGACATCTCACAAACACTATATAAGTGTTTTTAATCTAAACAGTATTAAATACTGTCAACACAATTTAAAAATTTGAATCTACCTGGGTCTGAAGAAATGGCTTCCAGAAGACCTGAATTTGATTCCCAGTGCCGGGATGGCAGCTCACAATCTGTAATTTCAGTCCCTGGGGATCCAACACCCACTTCGGGTCTCCCTGAGTGCATACCTGAAGCACGTACATACATGTATGCAAAAGCACTCATACAAAAATTTCTATAAACATGAATCTTTTTTAAAAGTTTAACCTACCTTACATGACTTCTAAATTTTCTTAAGCATTAACAACTGCAAAAATGTGGGTCTGATGTAATAGCTTTTTACAACATAGTAAATGAACATATAGCCAGTGAAATCTCTTTGCCTTGCCAGTGTGAGCCCAGTCTTGGAAGCTGGGTTTGTTCTTGTTGCTAAATCTCTGATAGGTGCACTGTCTCACCAACTTCTGAAACATGGCTGGCTAAGAAGGGACATGAATGTGTATAGTTTCTTTTTGTATGTATACTTATTTATTTTGGGTGTTTGTTTGTTTGAGACAGGGTCTTACTAGGTAGCCCTTGGCAGTCCTGGAACTCACTGTGTAAACCTTGAACTCACAGAGATCTTCCTGCCTCTGTGAAAGTTACTATTTAAGATCACATTAAACACTACCTTTTTTCATCCTTCTTTGTTGTTATTATTGGCTTTATTTGTTTGTTTGTTTGTTTTGAAACAGGCTCATACTCCCTGGCCCAGGCTAGCCTCCTGGCAGTACTCCTGTCTTCCTGGCTCAAGTGCTGGGATCATAAGTGTGAGCTACCAAGTCTGGCCTCCTTTTTCTTTTTCTTTTTTTTTTTTTTTTTTTAAGATAGAAATCATTAGTAGTTCATTCTACCATCTTTGCTTTCTGGAAAACTTTTAAAATACTTTCTAAAGTACTTCTCCCTGTATGTCCAAGATGATTTTCACCTTTACAATTAATTTATATAAAATCTTAGTGCTGTTCCCATTTTTCCCTTTTACAACTTCACTACAACCAATTATTTATTTGTCTTAGCTGTGTCTGTTACTACTCTGCTTTACGAAAGAGTAATGGAGGTTCCATAGCTGACCAGACAGCCACCAGCAGAGGTGGACTTTGAGCCCTGTCTGTTTTCCACCACCTGCACACGTCTGTGTTTTCTCCCGTATGTCAAAGGGCTTTCTCATTCAGATGTGAGCCCTTAATAATTTAAATCTGACGTGTCCCAGGTTCTTTGTGCTTACATAAATGTGTTTGTATGAGTATAGATTCTTAGCTTCTTTGATTTTTTAGGACAAAGCATTTTTAGGTCGTATTCCTAGGGAGATTTGTGTGCTGTATCTTTTCTTCCACCTACCACTGCCCTTTGCCATCCGTGCTTCTCTGAGCCTCCTTTTATTTATCTAGGAAACAAGAAGTCAAGGTCTTATCTAGGATTTCTCCCAGTTCTGAATTCTGAACTCCAAATATGAATATATAATTACTCATTTTAGATTTTTCTGTAATTTGACTGTAGCTTCAGCCATGTTCCATATGCATAGGCATGACATCGCTGTACTGAGCCTTTGTATTATTTGTGTGGCATGGAATTGCTGTCACCTGTTTGTGCTTCCAATACAGATTACCTTTCCTGGCTCAAGAAATGGTAAGCTTTTGCCTTTCTCTTACTAGATGTCACTACGCCAGAATCTCCAAAGAATGTTGGGGAACCATCTATGGTGAATGGAGGTGTGACATCTCAAACAAAAGAAAACGGGCTGAATGCTACCCAGCAGGGGCCTGTCCAGAGGAAGAAGCTTCTCAAAGCCCCGACCCTGGCTGAACTGGACAGCTCTGACTCTGAGGTAAGGATGCCAGGCACATGGATGCTTGTTTCTTGAGCTGTTTCCTTATCTCTTTTCCTGTTTCAATCAGTAAAGGTCAGATTGAAGTTAGTATGGTTAGCAGGAAGGTTAGTTATTACTACTTGTTACTACCACAGACCAGTGTGGTGGATATGCTTAGAAAATAGCTACTGAAATTGAGATCTGTAGTCTTAGATTATAAGTAGGATTAAGATAAATCCATAATCCTAAAACTCTGATCTTCATCTTTGTTTTGAGAAGGAAAAAATAAAGTTGAGTAGAAAACATGGAAAAAGTTGTCACATGTAGGATTGTTCATTCAGTAATAGCAATGCCAACAAACCTTCAAGAAGTTGTTTTCCCGGAGTCTTCGCTTTACAAACCTTCAAGAAGAAGCTGTTTTCCCTGGAGTCTTTGCTTTACACTGTGCCTGTCAGAGGAGAATACTCATTTGCTCAGTTTCCACACCTGTGTCCAGGCTGAGCCTCCTCCACCTGCTGAGCTATGAGTGTCAGAATGTGTGACGTGTTCTCCCATTCTTCTCATGCTGCATAGATGCATACTCATTATTCTCATCGTCTGTCTTCCTCAAGTGCATCTGAATTAGCAATTACTACTTAATTCTTTTATTTTCAGTTTCCACCACCATCCCAAACAATATCAATAATATGGTTTCTCTACTGAGGTTTTTCCCAATGGGCTTAGGAAGATGGTTCAATGATAAGAATGTTTGCTCTGCAAGCATGAGGAACTGAGTGCAAACCCCCAGCACCTGGGGTACCACGCTTTAACCCCAGCTCCATGTGGGTATAGAGATAGAGGATCGCTGGGGTTTGCTGGCTGTCACTTAGCTCCAGGTTCAGTGAGAGAGCCTATCTCAAGGGAATAAGCTAGAGAATGATATTGACAGATAAAAGACATCCTCCTCAAGCTGCTTTGAAGGCATTCATGTACTTATGCAATCAAGTACATGTAAATGTTCACATATACCCACATACCCACATCCCACACACACACCAAAATATCCCCATTACTGACATCAGTGTCTCACTACCTCACCTGTTTGATTTTCTTTTTGAGCTTCCCAAGTTACACCCTCCACTGATCCTTTATCATTCCTCCTTAGGAGCTTTGGAACATCCCATACAGCAGATACTTCACCTTTCCTAAGGATATAGATGTCAGAGTGCCACTCCCGTTTCCTGCAGTGAGATGCCTGTGACCCCTCCAGTCCTGTCCACACTCTCCAGCCTCCCATTTTATGTGGCCACACATGTGGCCATTGTCTTTCCTAGACAGTTTCTAGTTCCCCAGGCCTGTGCTTATCTGTGCCTACATTAGTTCCCAGTCCTAAGGCCTGTACATCCCTTAAGAATTAGTGGGTGCTTTTCTTTTTATGAGTCTTTTCCATACCTCTTGGTCTGTTTGTTGTGGTTCTGTGCTACCCTCTAATACCTGTTACTATGGAGCAGTGGTTCTCAACCTGTGGGATCGTCAAACAGCCCTTTTACAGAGGTCACCTAAGACCATCAGAAAACACAGAAACATTGTGATTCATAACAGTAGCAAAATTACAGAATTATTTTATGGTTGAGGGTCACCACAAGTATATTAAAGGGTTGCAGCATTAGCAAGGTTGTGAACCACTACTCTAAAGCACCTGTCTTAATTTGCTGTGATTTAAAAAAAAAAAAAAAAAACAAAAGCAGCTTGTGGGTGGAAAGGATTTATTTTAGCCTGTAATTCACAACACAGTCATCACTAATGGAAGTCAAGGAAGAATCTGGAGGCAGGAGCTACACAGGCCTTCGAGGAGTACTGCTTACCGGCTTGCTCGCCATGACTTGCTCAGGCAGATTTTTTTCTAATACCCAGGACTGCTAGCCTGTGAGTGGCACCACCCACAGTGAGCTGGGCCATCCCACATCAGTTAAAGAAATGACCTGCAGACTTGCCTGCAGCCCAACTGTGGAGGCATTTTCTTGACTGATACTCCTTCTTCCCAAACGACCCTAGCTTGCATTAAGTTGACTGAAAACCAGACAGCACAACACCTAACCTTTTATCATACCATTACCCAGTGATTTTTGGCTGTCTTCTCTCGAGATCCCTAGCTTCTATGCCTAGCAGAGACACTCAAGGGTTTAAATGTTTTTACACATTGATAAGGACAGTTTAAATTGTAAAAGCATTTAGCTTAGTGTCATCCAAATAGAACTCTGTGCTGAATTCCTCTGGGCCCCACTGATCTACAGCTCCTGGGACTTGCCTCCCTTCAGTCTTCCCCAGCTCAGCACTGGCTGAGTCCTTGTCTAGCCTCTCTCACACTGCAGCATTACTATGCACAGTGTGATGCAGGATACATCTGTGGCTTTTACAGCCTTTTTTATAGTCGTTTTTAAAGGGAACCCAAACCAACATTGCTTTGCTTGGTTATGTTTGTTTGCTTTCTAATAATGGCCATAAAAGCAAAGCTGTTAGGTGTTTCCCATGTCACATAGTGTGACTCTATTCACTTTTTATGGCATTTTGTTCCTCACTCATGTATTCTTTCACTCTTATTTTTATTTCTTTTCACCAACTTATTTTTCCTCATTTTTCTCCAGTCAGAGTTTTCGTTTCTAAGCCGGCACAGTAGCGCACACCTTTAATTCCAGCGCTCAGGAGGCAGAGTCAATCACAGTAAAGCTCTGTGAGTTTGAGGCCAGCCTGGTGTACAAAGAGAGTTCCAGGACAACCAGGGCTATTACACAGAGAAACCCTGTCTGGAAAAAAACAAAACAAAATCAAGTTTCCATTATTGTCTTTAGTATCAAATGCAGAGGCAGAAGTGTGATGGCCTTCACATTCCCATTGCTTCTAATTTAAATAGGGAAGTTAAAGCATGCCTGTTGCTAGGTACTGCCTTAAGCTGTGCAGCTAAACACTACTGAGTTCAGAGCCTGAAGAATCTGGGAGGGCCAGGGAAGCCTCAGTACTGATAGGTACATATAACAGACAGGCAGGGTACTTTCAGTGTTTCTGCATGGTGTCTTGCTGTGCCATGGCATGCTCATGTAGTTCTCCCCACTAGCAAGACTCATATACGCATCTTCCTCATACTTCCTATCCTGGCACTATGTCTGTGTCTAGAGATCTGCTGACCAGCTGAGGCTGTATAATGAACAAACCAGTCAAGACTTCTAAATAGAGAGAAGTCTCAAGAAGGGAGGAGAGGCCTGTCTTTTCCTTCCTCCCTCTATCCTATCCCTCTGTCCTCCTCTTTCTTCTTCTTCCTCACCCCACTTGCTTTTCCTCTTTACCTTAACATTTCCTCCTATCTTGAGAATATCCAGATCCCTTGTTTTTAAACTCTGAGACATATTTTTACATCTGATGCACAGAGAATTATAATGTTCAATGTCTAGAAATGGGAACTAGAGCTAAGTCCACCCAAGACCAGCCCTGCATCTTTCAGGACCTTATGGAACACTGGGAAGTTCAATTTTTATTATAAGAACAAGTATTGGGGCTGGGGCCCAGTGGATAAAGCCCTTGTTCTAGTTTGCTTTCCTGTTGCTATGGTAAACACCATGTTCATGAGTTTATTTCAGCCCATAGGCTACAGTCCACCATCAAGGGAATCCATTTGATTCCCTTGGTAAGCACTGAAGGCAGGAAGCAAAGCAGAGATCATGCAGGAATGGTGTTTACTGGCCTGATCTCCCCAGCCCTGTCCCATCACTTCTAATTAGGCAAAGTGATGACATAAGCTCATCCCTAATTTTAGACCCCTTCTAGTTTGCCTTGAGCCTTTGACAGTATGATTTGGTGTCTCATGTTAAAGTGTCTGTTTACTAGGATGTCGTTCTGTAGCACAGGATCTAAAGCTTATGAAATTGCCTTTTTCAGGAGGAAACCCTGCACAAGTCAACCAGCAGCAGCAGCGCATCTCCCTCCCTCTATGAGGATCCAGTACTCGAGGCCATGTGCGCCAGGAAGAGTGAGTGCATGCCTAACAGAACACTTGACCTAGAGCAGGGCCCGCACTGCACTGTGCTCATTTGGGATCTATAAAGCTAACTCTTGCACTTCAGTGTCAGGGGCAGACAGCTCAGTTATCTTCCCAAGCTGCACGGACAGCTACCTTAAGTAGATCAGGACTCATTCATTCATTCATTCATTCATTCATTCATTCATTCATTCATACTGCACATATGGATGTCAGCAGTGTGTGTGCATGTATGTACACTTTCTAGATTAATGATCTCCTAGTCTGAATTTAATCTTAGAAGCATTAAATAACCGTATTTGTTCCCTCCCTGCCTGGTGTAACATACCTCCAGCCATGCCCAGTACATGTTTAAGTAGTAAACACTTTGATAGCGATTGGGCAGGGGCTTCTGAATACAGGGTCTAAAACTAAGAGATTTCTAAAGGCCTTTAGTAATATGAAATTATTATGAAGGGTTAAAAATTAATTGCTTGACTATTACAATATTCTTGGGGGATGGAAGATGGTGCAGTAGTTAAGAGCACTTGCTGCTCTTGCAGAGGACCTGGGTTAGGTTTCCATCATCCACATAGCAGCTGGCAATCATCTGACCCTCTTAAGCACCAGACACACACATGGTATACATATGAACATTCAGTAAAAATACTCAGATACATGAAGTAGAAACAAATCTTTTTTTTTTTTTTAAAGATATTCTTAAAATGTTGGCTTCATTTTCCATATTCTTGAAACTGGGTCTCATGTACTGCAGGGTAGCCTTGAAACTGATACATACCTAAGTCTGGCCTTGAACTCTTGATCCTCCTGCCTCTCCTTCCCAAGTGCTGGGATTTCATAGCATTTCCGTTACTTAAAGAGATGATATAAAAATAATAGGTGGCAGGCAAGATGAGTGTGAGGGTTAAACCCCTCCCATGGAAGCATGACAACCCGAGTTCTGTCATAGATCCCACAGTGGACGGTGAAAAACGACTGACTTCCAGAAGTTGACCTCTGACATTCACATGTGCACTGTCACAGGGTGCACATCTGTATTCATATCAAATAACACACACACACAAGTAATAAATGAAAAAGAATTAAGTCAGTAAGAGTTGGCTTTGGTTGTTGCTGTGATGAGGACTTGGCCAGGCGCAGTAAACACGACAGAAGTGGAGTGTTAGCTCCATTGTAGATGATTGCCTAGTATGCACAACACCCTAGATTTGAACTCTAGCACTAAATAAACCAGGTATGGTGGTGCACGCTTATAATCCCAACACCCAGGGGTAGAGGTGGTAGGAACAGATCAGTAGTTTGAGGTCATCCTCAGCCATGTAGTAGATTTGATACTAGCGTGCATTACATGAGACCCTGTCTCAAAATAAATGAATAAGTACATACATGAATATTATAGGGTACCAATCAAATTGTGTAATGAGTTTCAGTATTTATTTGTTGACTGGAAATTACGTCTTTCATTTACCTCAGTAGTTTGCCTTCACGGGATAGTCCAAAGATATAAGTCACGTGTAACTGTGCTGCCTGTCACGTTTCTCCCCATTGCATGAAGCAGCCCTGCCTCTCAAGTAGAGTAAGAGGCAGCACTGAATACAACGGTGACAACGGAGCTCATTTCTAATATTTATATGCTTTCACACAGTGAATCTAGAACCACTCATACTAAAGATTATCCTGAACACTGCTAGTCAGTATTAGGGATATACTCAGAAGCAAAATACTTGTTTAACGGGCTCAAGAATGTAAAAGAAGGGTACAATTGAATTTTGATATAGTTTGGGTTTACTTGGAACCATACAAAATGTTTCTATGTTTCTATGTATTTGTATGTTTTAAAAATAGGAAATGGAGAACTCAGTTGTAACGTTTATGGACAGTAACATGGGGCATTCGCACATATAAATCTTAAGGCTAATTTATACTGTGTTTTAATGTGGACTTCAATGGATATTAAGAGCATAGAACATCCCTACCCCCTGTCTGTCTTGCGGTTTCTGTAGCAAGTTTATCTTAGAAACAATTTTTGGAACAATTCTGAGCTACCATCTTAAAATAGCTCTCCACTGAAATAAATCCTTCATCTGTGAGTACAGTGTTGCCACACAGTACAAAAGTTTTTCTGTTGAAAATTCAGATCCAAGATTTTGTTTTGTAAGAGAGTTCATTTATTTGCTTAAATCTTTAGAGCCTCCAAAATTCTTGCCCATCTCATCAACACCCCAGCCAGAGAGACGGCAACCACCTCAGAGACGCCATTCCATTGAGAAGGAAACACCTACCAATGTGAGGCAGTTTCTGCCGCCATCCAGGCAGAGCTCACGCTCTCTTGTAAGTACCAAAGGATGAACAGAGGTTTGTCTAGGAAGGAAGGAACCATGTTTTCCAAATGACAAGGAGAAAAGCTTGCACAGGTTAGCATGAATTTTAACATTTCTCTGCTTACCATCTAAAGGAAATGTCTCTGGCTACGCTTGTTTGACTTCTTCTTGGTTTATTTTGAGTACTCATTTTCAAAAGCTTTTTTTGGTGAGTTATTAAATGTTTTCTTTCTGTTAAAGGATATTAATCCACTTAAAATTGTCAAAGTTCTCAGAATAATCTGTCTAGAGTAGATTATTTTATCCTAGCAGAACAGGAAGAGTTCTGACCATGTATAACATTATATCTTGTTTTGAAGTGTGTTTATAATGCAGAGCCAGAGCTGTTATGTGAGCTGCTTAGCAGCTTCTCATTGTTCCTTACAGTGGAACTCACAGAGAAGAAAGAGTTTGTTGATCTAGCAGTCAGAAAAAGTCTTCGGAGTTCCTTTTGGTTTCCCTCATGAGCTTCCAAAATGCAGCAAGATGCAAGGTGCCCACCAACATTCCACCCACAGCCTGATAGCTAATGTTTCCTTTCAAATATGCAGGAATGAAAATCACATGAATGTCTTGTAGTGGGGGTGACGCACGTCTTTAATCCTAGCGCTCAGAAGGCAGAGGCAGGTAGATCTCTGGGAGTTTGAGGCCAGCCTGGTCTACAGAGGGAGTCTAGGACAGCCAAGGCTACATAGAAAAACCCTGTCTCAAAAAAGGTGGGGGTGGGGGGGAGAAAATCACATAAACATGCTTACCGCTCCATCTTTACCTGTGGTGAGTCATAAATGTTCCAGATGAGGCAGCAGCAGGTGTCGTACCTTCAAGGAGGGGGCACAGCAGTGGTCAGTATAGACAGGAAGTATAAGCAGAGCTTAGAGTGCTGGCATTTGATGTTACCTCTACTCCAAAATAATACCATTAAAGAACTCATGGGGTTGCCAGAGTAGTGCTGCACGCCTGTAATCCCAGCACTTGGGAGGCAGAGGTAGGTGGATCTCTGTGAATTCAAGGCCAGCCCTGCCTACAGAATGAGTTCCAGGACAGCCAATGTTACACAGAAAAACCTGTCTGAAAAAAAAAAAAAAAATCATGGGATGATGGTTATTTTTGATGAGATTCTTCTAATTCCTGCATAGTCACTGAGCCACTATTCTTGCCTGACATAGTGGGATGCCTGGTAGTCCTAACATTTAGAGGGTTATCCCAAGTTCCAGACCAGCCTGAAATACAGAATAGGAACCTGTTTCAAAAGCAGAAACTGCTCTTTGGTGAAATGCAGCCTTGTTAATGGCCTATCAGCTATAAAATAACAGTGCAATAAGCTTGAACTTTAAAATCCAAGCCCTGTTAGCCAGTGTGGATGAATTATTACCAAAATATGCAGCTAGATATGGTAGTGCACACCTGTAATCCCAACACTTGAGAAACTGAGACAAAAGATCGGAAGCTCAAGGTCACCCTTGGCTACGTAGTAGGTTTGAAGCCAGAGTTCCATGAGACCATGTCTTCAACAAAACAAACAACAGAAACAAAGAAAAAAAGAAAGGAAGTTTTCAGCATAAAGTTGCTGCAGATTACTATTAAGTAGTTTGATCTAATAACACAAGTGATGCCAAGGCCTGCAGCCACGTGCCAGGCACACAAAGACTGCTGGTGAAGGTGAACTGTGCTGTATGCCTGGTCAGATTGGGAGTTATCTTTGTGGAGGAGGAGGAAACTATTTGCAGTCACTGAGAAGAATCTCAGGAACAGGCAGTGGGAAGGGAGCCCTGGGCAACACAGATAGTGCAGGTTAAAGGGCAGGGAAAGAGGTCATGCTTGGGGCAGCTCCTTCAAATTGCACAGGGCCACAAGTTGAGAGAAAGAAAGCCTCCTCACACATGACTTTTCTCACTAGCAGCTTCTCATTCGTAGTTGTTGAACTTGTAGAAATCACTGACAGTGGCATTCTCAAGTTCAGTAAAGGATTTTCCTGAAAGCGTAGTCATGGGAACTTGAACTCCACTGTAGAAAAGGACTCTTCGTCTCATGTTTATTCCTTCAACTGAAAGTGGCAGGAATGTTTTCGCAGCTAATAAATTTTATTTTATTGTGTTGAAGTACTTTTTTTATTGGTGTTGATTGTCCATTCAATTGAAAAGCAGTTGTCTTTAAGGACCTTCCCAGGGCAGGGCAGGTGGGCTTGTGGGTACAGGAGCCAGGAACTCCACCTGCATCACAACCAGCTTCATCTGAGAGAATCGGAATGCTTACAGACCACCAAGTTAGAACAGCCACAAGTGTCTGTGCTGTGTGACCTCGGGGCATGGCTTACTGCTTGACTCCTGACTTAGGAAGTGAGTGGAATGTCAGCATGGACCATTGCCATCTCATGTTGTTTTTTATTTTGTTTTGTTTTTCTTTCACATTCTGTTAGTAGGTCACTTGTTCAGCATTTTCTCCTTTTCTTTCTCCTGCTTTTTCTTTTTCCCTTCCATTGTTCAGGTTCCTAGGATAACCAGTGTATGGCCAAGGACGCCTTTCCGACCGCTTTTCTCTACCATACAAACAGCTTCTCTGCTGAGCTCTCATCCTTTTGAAGCAGCCATGTTTGGGGTAGCAGGGGCTATGTATTATCTGTTTGAGAGAGCTTTTACCAGCAGGTGGAAACCCTCAAAGGTTGGCCTTTTTCTGCTGGGTCTGGGAATTCCTTTACTCTCTGTGTCTCTGACAGTGATACCTCAGCTACTGCACTCTGCAAGAATTAACAGCTCAGATGGGCACTTTGCTTTTGATTGCTGATTCCAATCTTGTATAGGACGCATAGATCATGCTGTGATCTCATTGGAGAAGAAAATAGCTGAAAGGACAACAAACTTAAAATGCAGCATCAGCTCGAGAGCCTGTGGGTGTTTGTCTCCAGGAATGACTCACTGTCAGCAGGGCACTGCTTCCTCCTGACTCCTGTGCAGGCGTCCCTGCCAGGGCCCAAGTGCTCCCACTGTTGGCACTTTGGAAAGTGTTGATTCACTCACCCAGCTGGCAAGCCAGCCCTTTGCTAGCCAAACAGCCATGATGGCCGCCCTGTCACACATATAGAGGGACAGGTGCGTTCCTGATGTTTCCTCCACACTCCATTATCTGCTCTGTGGCCAAATACCCAGCCTTCTTCAGAGTACTGCTTCTCCAGAGAAGTGAGTTTTCTTTGCTGTGGAAGGAGAGAACCACAAGTGGTCTTCTTTTGTGTCCAAACCCTCCCCATGGTACACCTGTGCCCCACGCTTCGCATTTAGATTAGACAGATAGACAGGCAGACAGATCTCATTTCTCTGTGGCCAGTAACTAATAACCAGAGTTTCACATTCTGCTTTCTAATTTCTGTACTGCCTCATTCTCACCCCTTTAGTCTGGTTAAATAAAACATAACCAGAATATTCAGAAAGACTCAACTTGTAAGCATGTAAATAAGCTGCGGCATGCCTGCCCCCAGTGTCAGCGCCTTTGCTGCTTTCCCTACATTATGAGTAACTTTGGGGCAGAGAGCAACGGGAGTGATGATGTCAGGCTGGCATAACCCAACCACTTCTTGACAACTAGAAAAATAATTAAAACTATTCTTGTCACAATTTATCATTTTTTTTTCCATGTTGCATTCAAGTTTTGTTGTCCTTGGGCAAGCTCCAGAATTAAAACATTAGCATTTGACCTGATGGGAAATTTTAAAAAGAATAAGAAAATCAGTAAATGTTATGATTTCTTATGATGTTCCGTGAAATACAGGCTTACAAATGGTTCAAAGCTGGAACCTGAAAGGACCCTTGACAAAGTCAGCTGTCTTGTGACTCAGACTGCAGAGAGGGAGCACAGCTGTCAGCTTGTTCTGTGGCAGTCTGTCCCCAAGTGAAAATGCTTAGAAGCAGGGATCTGCAGGGTATGGTGATCTGAACCCTGGGTTGGTTGGTTAGTTAGTTAGATATAGTTACATTCGTAGAGTATTTGGCTACAGCTTAACAGTCATAGTTAGCTGTCAGTCTCACCTTTTATTAAATACTGGTAGGAAAACTTCTACAAAAGTTAAAGCAGAAAAACCATCACATGACCATATCCAGCCAGCACTGCTTATTTAATAGCCCACTTAATTGGCCTAACTACTGGTGGCTCATTGTCCCTATGACACTGCTCTGTTCTCTGGGTAAAACAAAGCAAGTACGTATTGAGCACATTGCTTAACCCTGTCATCTCTGGAAGTTGTTTCAACTGAACCGGAGACTGTGATGGGCAGCACTTTTTGAATGCCCATTGTGGGCATCTTAAGTGACACAGTCTTCTGCAGCAAACCCTGGCCCCAACCACTGAGAAGCTCCGTATCTTAACAGCTCAGCTGCAGGATTCTTTCCAAAGCGCTCTAAACAGACTCAGCCTTCCTTAAGTTAGCTCAGGCGGGTACTGTACTGAATTGAAACACAAGTTAGCCTGACTACTTTTTTTTTTTTTTTTTGTAAATGCTAATGTTTGTCATTTGCCACCTAGATTTATTTTTGTTTCTCTCTGATTGAAAGACAGAACTGAATGTTAAAACTCCATAAACTGACTGCCCTTGTGGTCATGTGCTTTCTCATTTGGCTTGTTTGGTTCCAGAATGCCTGGGAGCAGTGCTGTGGTGTGGGAGTGAATTATAATGTGTGTGCTGAGAACATTGAGTTTCAGTGTCAATACACCACAATGGCCCCTTGAAGCCTGGCAGGGCCTGAGTGCACAGGGCCGTTCTGTCTTTCTCTTAGATCCACCAATCGACAGCACCGGATGGAAAGCGGATGGTTCGAGGCTCTTATTCAGTGGATCAGTTACATCAACATTTTTCACAGCTGTTTGTAAGGAAGCCATTAACATAAGAAGCCAGCATAAATATTTATCATGAAAGGCTCTGTCTCCATCTGTGCTGACTGCACATTCAGCAGTTGTTGAAAAGACCAGGGGCAGCCAGAGAGATGGGCTTCGGGAGTAAGCGGGCCTTGCTGCCACTTCCTGTTGCGGTTACACTCAGGGCTTTAGGGCCTTTTGAAAGTGTGCTGATGTAACTGATCACTCAGTATTGCTTGTCTGTATAAAATACTAACTACCTCCACTTGGCTATTCTGGGTACCACACACAAAATCCTGCAGTTTCGAAAACAGGACCAAACTTGTAGATTTGCTGCATTTCCAGTAGTGTAGCTCACAGCACATTTGCATAATCATCTGTGACACAAAACTGGCTTAGAATAACAATGTTTTCTTAAGATTTCAACCTTAGATGTATAGCTCTGCTGGAGGCAAAAATACCCGACCAAATGTGAGGAACTCTGGTTTATTGTAAATTTCAATAGAGTGCAGTGTTTTTCTCCGTCACGGTCCTGATTTATACAGTGCACTTAGGAGTGATGTGGTCCCCAGACGGAGCCAGCTCTGTCCCAGTGATCATGGGAACCCTGTCTTCTGAAGCTACTAACCAGCTGTCTGATCTGAAGGGAGCACGGCAGTTCCAGAGCAGGGCTTGGCGCTCCTCACTCACGAGGCACTTTGAATTTCAGGAGGAATTCTGCTACCCAGTGGAATGCCTTGCTCTCACTGTGGAGGAAGTGATGCACATTCGTCAAGTCCTGGTGAAAGCAGAGCTGGAGAAGTACCAGCAGTATAAGGATGTCTACACTGCCCTGAAGAAAGGAAAGGTAGAACTGTTTACAGTTGACTGAACTGTACAAGAATGGCCAGTCCCAACCATGGTCTCTAAGAGGCCTCTGTGCTAGCCAGGTGGTATAGGACTTTAGGGGGGAGGGTCTTAGGAGGTGAGGTATTTATATTCTAAGCTGATCCCTGTTCCTCATTCCCAAAAAGGGATTTTTGGCAAAATTAGTGGAAGGTTTAAAAACCACCCTAAAAGATAATAGTATGCCTTCCTAAAGCCATGTGTACTTGAGCTGTACTTTTAAAGGATCAGTAAAGAAGGCATGCCTGAGGAACAGGAGTTACCTTTCCTCAGAACTAATCCTGTGACCATGAGAGCTTGAGCACTGAGACCTTTTGTTACCTTTGAAGAACTGTCATTAGACATAGAACAGGACTGTAAGTGTCAAAAGCCAAGCATAAGGCTTGCTTCTGTCTTGCTGCACACACACCTAGAACATCCCCTAGATGACGAGGAAGTGGGTCCAGCCTGGGAGCTGGGAAGCACTAGCCCCACTTCTCTTCTCCTTTTAACTTTCTGTTTTTTAGCTCTGCTTCTGTTGCCGAACCCGGAGGTTTTCCTTCTTCACCTGGTCTTATACCTGTCAGTTCTGTAAGAGGTAAGGCTCTGTCACAGGGGAGTTCCGACAGCCACAGAGAAATGCCGGTTAGCTCTTTTGCTCCACCATTTTCCCCACTCAGGAGAGTATTAGAGAAAATGGCCCATGCTGTGGCTTTGCTCTGTACCTTCTTCAGCTCGGCACAGCAGTTTCTTCAAGAGTGAGCTGATGGACTGGAAAGAATGTTATTCTATATGCTGCTGCTGCTTCTTTTCTTTTTATTGTTGTTGTTGAGAGGAGGTTTCATGTGGCCATTGGCCCTGAACTCGTTACATAGCAGCGGGTGATCTTCAGTTCCTGATCCTCCTGCCTCTACATTCCAAATGCTAGAATTTCGGGTGAATACCATCATGCCTGGTTTGTTTCTTTTACTTAAGCAAAATGATTGTCATCCTTGAAGAGGACAAAAACAAAAAATAGCCACAGTTATCATAAGATCCCTGGATACATTACAAAAATTCCACATAGAGTTGATCCTTTTGGTTTGTTTTTACTATTGTTGCTTTAAGATTAATTTTTAGGTGCTGGTGTAGAGATGGCAGAGGCCTTTAATCCCAGCTCTCAGGAGGCAGAGGCAGGAAGTGCTCTGTGATTTCAAGGCTAGCCTGGTCTACACAGCAAATCCAGGACACCCAGGTCTATATAGTAAGACTGTCTCAAAACAACAAAACAAAAGGATTTCTTATTATTTTTACTTGTGTGTATATCTCTGTGAGTGAACCCCAATGACTGCAGTTGCCACAGAGGCCAAAAGGCATGGATCCAGCCTATTACGACCTTTTTTTTTTTTTTTAATTTTTTATTCTTTCTTTACCCAAGACAGGGTTTCTCTGTGTAGGTCTGGCTCTGGCTGTACTGGACTCAATTTGTAGACCAGGCTGGCCTTGAACTCACAGAGATCCACCTGCCTCTACCTCCTGAGTGCTGGGATTACAGGTGTACTCTGCTGCGCTTGGCTATGAGCCTCTTAATCTGAGTGTAGGAAACTGAAATCAGGTTCTTTGGAAGAGTAGAAAGCACTTTTACCTATGGGCCATCTCTCTAGAACATCCCTGGGTTTTTTTGTTTTGTTTTTATATGTTTTTAAAATGAGGTCACACTGTAGTATAAATTGGCTTTTGAAGCTGAAGACTCTCAGCAGTCTCCCTCAGCTCCTCAAGCACTGGGATTACAAGCATGAGCCACCATGCTTGGGTGATCCTGTCTGTTTGTTTGTTTGTTTTGGGTTTCTCTGTGTAGCCCTGGCTGTCTTGGAACTCACTCTGTAGACCAGGCTGGCCTCGAACTCAGAGATCCATCTGCCTCTGCCTCCTGAGTGCTGGAATTAAAGGCATGTGCCATCAACTTCCCAGCTAGCTGATCCTGTTTTTAAGAGACAATGTAGTAGTTAAATTTCATAGATTATCTCTTTGGCAGTTTACACTTGTATCAGTGCATTCTGACAGAAGGATAATGTTTGCAACTGGTTGAAGAAGCTCATAGCTCTGCAATCCTGTGGCTTCCCTTACATCCATTGTGTCCCAAACAAGTAATGCTTCTTGTTTTGTACACAGGCCCGTGTGCTCGCAGTGTTGCAAAAAGGTAAGCTTAACTCAGTGAAATTACCAGTGCATCCGTTGATTGCTTCTGCGTGTCCCAGGGCTCATTCTCCTTCTTGATCTGGGGTAACAGATGCGGCTGCCCTCCAAGCCATACTCCACTCTACCTATTTTCTCCTTGGGACCTTCTGCCTTGCAAAGGGGCGAAAGTTGTTCGAGGCCAGAAAAACCTTTCACGAGTCACCATCGGCCACTTCGGAGTATCGCCAGGTGAGCAGAGAACCTGAATCTCAAGAGCATTCTCTGAAGAAACAACATTTGGGCTTAGGGTGGTCATGGCAGGGCTAGGGTTTGGGTCAGGGCGTGTTGCTGGTTCATTGGTTTTAATACAGTTTCATTCCTGCACAATCTTCAGAGTTCTTTTCAGGTGATATTGGCTAGTTATTTAAACTATTTTAATATAGCTTTATTTTAATTACATTTTGAAATAACTTTTATACCTTTTAAAAGAGATCTTTAAAACTGACTTTTAGGTTAGATGGGTCATGTCTATGATCCCAATGGTTAGGAGAAGGAGATGGGAAGATAGAAAGAAAGTCACTGAGGTTGAAGAGATGGCTCAGTGGTTAAGAGCACTTGCTGCTTTTGCAGAGGACCTGAGTTCAGTGCCCAGCACCCACATGGATCCTCAAAACTGTAATTCCAAGTCTAGGGGGCTTGGCGTTCTGTTCTGGCACTGCACATACAAGTAGGCAAAACACCAATACACATAAAATAAAAATGAATCTAAATAAAAATAAATTCTAGTTCATCCTCAGATACATGGTGAGGGCAATCTAGGTTTCCTGAAATCCTGAACTCAAAAACAACAGGGAAAAAAACTAAGTCCCCCCCCCCCAAGTCTAGTCTAGTTTTCCTTTGTTTCATATCTAGTTTAAGAAAATCTGACACCTGTGCTTATAACATCTGCTATAACTTTGAGTTGCTTTACTCTTGGACAGGCAGATATAAAGCTTTATGCCAAGAACTGACTATCAAATTGTTGCATTCAGTACAGGGAAAGGCAATATTGTCCTTAACAGGAAAGGAAGTCTACTCAGGCCACATGCTGGCTGAGCCAAGAGATTCCTACCTCTGGACTGTGGGGCTAGAAAGCCTTATGCATAGTGCATAACCTGGGCATGCCTATAAGTACCTGTGGAGCCCAGAAGAGTGCTTCAGACCTTATGGGTTTAGAGTTTCAAATGGTTGTGAGCTGCCACGGGGGTTCTGGGAATCAGATCCAGGTCTTCTGGAAGAACAACCAGTGCTCTTAACCCCTGAGCAATCACTCCAATGCCACCCCACCCCACAATATTACTTTCTTCTTCTTTCTTCCTCCTCCTTCTTCCTTCTTTCCTCTTTCTTTTTTGTTTTGTTTTGTTTGGAAACACAGGGTTTCTCTGTGTTGCCCTGGCCTCTTTTCTTCTCCTCCTTCTTCTGTTTGTTTGCTTTTCAAGACAGGGTTTCTCTGTGTAGCTCTGGCTGTCCTGGAACTCAGAGCATTTGAGAGGCAGAGGCAGGCAGATCTCAGAGTTCAAGACCAGCCTGGTCTACAAAGAGTGTTTAGGACAGCAAGAGCGACACAGAGACATACTGTCTTAAAAAGCCAAAAGCCAAACCAGCAACAAAGAACACTAAATATTTTTCTTTCCCCACTTCCTGCTCAGGTTTTCCTCAAAATCGAAGTCTGTGGACAAATCAGATGAAGAACTCCAGTTTCCCAAAGAGTTCATGGAGGACTGGAGCACAATGGAGGTGTGTGTAGACTGCAAAAAGTTCATTTCAGAAATCATCAGCTCAAGCCGGCGCAGCCTGGTGTTGGCCAACAAAAGGGCCCGGTTGAAAAGGAAGACACAGTCTTTCTACATGTCTTCAGCCGGCCCCTCGGAGTACTGCCCTTCAGAAAGGACTATCAATGAGATCTGAGCCCTGTGCCTTCCCATTGCTTTTGTGTCCAGAGGCAGTCTTAGCGCAGCAGTGCTGCAGGACTCTGTTCGCAGGGGTTTGACTGAACAGGCTCCATCTGCAGCAGGTCAGGCTTGGGCTGCTCCTTGTGCATACTCCAGGCTGTGCTCATAATCGGTTGATGGTACGCGGCGACCCAGCCGCTTGCTCATTTGCACTCAGAAAACTTGATTTTGTGTATGTGAATAGGGAAGCCAGAAACTTCCTTAGTTCAGTTCCTCAATGTTCTCAGATAATTTCCTGACCAAACAAAAATTTTCTTGTGTGTGAAGTCAGTCTGACAGAGTGTTGACGTTAGCACAGTTCTAAGCCGTAAGTCATATTGGCATTCCACTTGACAGTGTTCCTATTTCATGTACATAATGGTCTAGAGCCCTGCCACACACCAGCTCCCTGGGGTGGGCCAGGTTGGCCATGGTCTCACAGCACAAATCTAGAAGGCCTTGCTGATAATTCTCCTTTGGGGCTCTGGCTGCCTTAGTGCAGAGCATCCAAGTAAGCCGTACACCACATGGGCGGCCACTTTCTGAGCTTCAGGGTCTGCCCAGGCCCGTGCCTCAGTGTTTCCTGGGCTGCTAACAGGCCTTCATTCCCTAGTGTGAATGTATTATGGTTTTGAATAGTTTTATAATACATGTCTAAAAATTAAATTTTGTGGAAGTTTGAAGGAAAAGGAAGACTAAAATTTTGTCAAGTAGCTAAGTGTGTTTTGGTTAACTGTGACAAGTTTGGTTTTCAGCGACAGGCTGTGACAGGCTGTGACAGCAGAGGGTTTCACCAGAAAGAAGCTACATCTCATACTTTTCAGCTACATTTTCCATAACTTTATAGTGTGGCCGTCATGACTAAATTAACCACAGTTTGGTACCTGAGTCTCAAACTGAAGTTTATTTTTATAAATGAATTTTAAAAGAAAAATCCTGGCTGTTTTAAAATTTTAAGAAAATTAACCTGCTGCCATGCATAATTTTTGGATGTTTTTTGCACTAGTTGTCTTGTAAATGTTACTGAGTTTCTGATGAAGGGCGATTATCAGGTAGTGTGTACCTGAACTTCCTCAGCTCCTGTGACACACACCGTGGGCTGTCCCTCATTTCCATATGCTTAGAAATAAATAGTCAATCAAATTGCCACTAATGTTTAAGTCACATGCACAGTAATTCCTGAAAGCTATAAAAAACCACCCTCATAGTCACCACTAATGACAATTCATTTTATAAAAGGCATGACAGTTGCATTTCATACCAACATCAAGATACAATAACATTTCCACATTAAATTGACTGACACCTCAGAAATGCTCCAGCAGTCATTTCTAGTGCATTGAAATTTATAGTTTAGTAAATGGCTTTAAATTACTTATACTGACGAAATAAACTTTACCAACTGACTGAAGTAATGCATGTTAGTAGTTCCTCTGTGCTGCATGTAGAAGTGGCCGCGAGAAAACCCTTACGTTCCAGCTGTTTTTAAGACTTTTAAGAACTGTAAACATTGCGTTGTGTGACTCCCATTTGTAGTTTTCTCAGAGACCATCTGAACTTTACCCTGCAGTTAGGTGGGACCGCCCACTGCCATGGCCCCAGACATGCATCCTAAAGTGACCTCCTGGAAGGAAGAAGGAAGAAGGAATGGCTGCTACCTGTGTAGGTTTATAAGCATGTATGTAGGATAACACGCTTCTGTAAAATGGTGACTGAGTTACTGTTTGACTTCCTACACGAGACACTGAACCACCACCATCATCCCAAGTAGATTTCATTCGCATTCATAAAGCAGTGATCTAGTGATGAATCTCATGGATTTGACCTCATTCCTTCAGGCTTATTAGTACTGTGTATAATGATTTGGGCATTATGACCACTTTTACCAGGCATCAGGATATAAATCTTTCAGCACATTAATGGGATTTGCCTAATGTGTTAAAAGTTCAAGTGTATGCCTTGCCCAGGAAACAACCTACAGGAAGTAGTGGGGAAAGTGGCACATGACAAGGTAGAAATTATAGAAATAAAATTAATGTTGTTTGGGAGACACCAAAACAGATGTGTGTGTGTTTAACTCTACCTTGTCTACAAGACTGACTCCCCTCCCCCAGCACCCAGGCTAAGCTAGGCTGTCATAGGTGAGGGCTCTTGGGCTGGGGAGCTGATGCTGCTTGATGATGCTGCTTGACAGAAGGCAGAGCCTCCTGATCCTGCAGTAACCTCCTTGTGCAGGCGCCTTTGTCCTGCCTGCTGTGCTGCTCTTTCAGTTCAACAACTGTTTATGCCCCCAGAGACTGAGGCATCTCCTAGGATATTTGCCTGTCTGTCCTGACTGCTCCAGGTGTGAGCCCTGCCATCAGTCCCAGAGGCGGTGAGGTCAGAGTATGTAAGAATGCTTGTAAATACTGTAACATACTCATTACTATTTGAAAGGCACTCTGTTATTGGCAATGGGAATTAATTTTCCCAAGACAAGTAAAAATTAAATTATTGATTTATACATTGACTTAATGACCTTAATTACTTGATTCCAAGTCTCAGCCCTTTAAAATGAAAGCAGAAAGTTGTTATGCAGTAATTCTAAATATGATATGTGTTGAAGAGATGTGTGGTTAGGACCATGAACCCACACTATGAAATTTGTAAGGCTTTTATTTTTCTAACTATACTAATAGAGGACTGAACATTGGGTGAAGTAGGAAACATGAAAGTTTTGAATTATGTCCCTCTTTGTTAAAATAAAACAGAAAATTTTGCACATTTAAGGACCATGAAGAAATGTGTCTGACTGACTGGGTGCGGAGGTGGCTTCCCATGCGTGTAAGCAAAGTAGTGCTGACATTACAAGAAGATGATAGTGCTAAATGTGTACCCTGGAGTATTGATTTTAGCCACACAGCTTCAATCCCAGCATTCCAGAGCATTCCGATTTCAGGGCCATCATGTCTATATAGTGAGACTTTGTCTTTTCCTCCTCCTCCTCTTCTCCTCCTCCTTCTTCTTTTAAGCTATTTTATTTTAAAACTTATGTAGGGGGAAAATAAACTGGCTTTCGTCATACCTTCTGTGTTGAATTCCTATTCTAAGATGGCGATATCTTTCAGGAACTGAAACGCTGTTAGAAATCACTCAGGTTATAAAGGCAAAGTACCTGCAGCAGCATTTAAAAAATACTTTAAGCTGGGCATGGTGGAACATGCCTTTAATCCCAGCGCTCTGGTGGCAAAGGCAGGTGGATCTGTGAGTTTGAGGCAAGACTGATCTACAGAGTGAGTTCCAGGACAGCCAAGGAGAAACTTGGCCGTTTGACTTGAAAAACAAAGGAACACTTTAAAAATACAGTTTCCTAGGACAAAATAAAAAGAAAACAGTTGTACCGTCAGTGAGTGCTGTCATAAAGCAGTGTGACTAAAGAAACGACAGGTAAATGCCAGGTGTGGTGGGACATGTTTGTGATCCCGGCGTTTGGGAAGTGGAGGCACGAAGATCATGGTTTTAAAGTTAGCCTGGGCACTTGGCCCTGTGGTGCAGCAGCCTTGGTCCTTTGGCTTCCCTTAACTATATGCATCCCCTTGGCTTTTCACCCCTCTGCCATCTTACGGGGAGAGAGAGGAGGGAAGGAGAGGGAGTGTGTCTGCATGAGGAGTTCTCAGGTAACAACCTCAAAAGTGCTGTCCATCTCCTTTGGAAAGGGTTTGTTGTTTTGAATTCACCAGTCAGGCGAGGCTGCCTTTCCACATCTCCGCGTCTTTGTACATCTTTTGTGCTGTTTCTGTTGTTGTTGATACCCAGCTTTAATTTTTTTTTTTTTTCCAGGCAGGGTTTCTCTGTAGCTTTGGCTGGCCTGGACTCTCTTTGTAGACCTGGCTGCCCTGGAACTCATAGAGATCTGCCTGCCTCTGCTTCCAGAGTGCTTCGATTACAGGCGTGTGCCGCCACTCCCGATTCCCACCTTTAATCTTAACATGGTGGTCAGATGGGATACAGGATGTTATTTCAGTTTTCTTGTATTTGTTGAGACTTGTTTTGTGTCCTAGTATGTGATCAGTTTTGGAGAAAGTTCCATGAGCTTCTGAGAAGAAAGTATATTTAGTGTTTGGGTGGAATGTTCTGTAACTATGTTAGGTCCACTTGATTTATGACAGTAATGCCATAATTTCTGTTTAGTTTTTGTCTCTGTGACCTCTCTGTTAGCGAGTGGACTTTTGAAGTTACACACTATCACTGTGTGAGGGTTAAAATGCAATTTGAGCTGTAGTAGGGCTTCTTTTACAAACTTGGGTGCCCTTGTGTTTAGTGCATACATGTTTACAATTGCAATATCCTCTTGGTGGATTTTTTTCCCCTTTGATTAGTATGTATTGTCCTTTCCTGTTTCTTCTGATTAGTTTTGGTTTGAGGTCTGTTTTGCCTAGTATGGCTTCTTGGGTCCAGTACTTGGAATAGCTTTTTGCATCTTTTTATCCTGAGCTGAAATCTGTCCTTGATGATGAAATGTGTTTATCTCTTGGATGCAGCAGGAAGATGGATCCTTCTCTCCCCTCCCTCTCTGTCTCTCTCCCTCCCTCCCTTCCCTTCTCTCCTCTCCCTCCCCTCCTCTCTCTTCTCCTTCCTCTTCTCCTCTCCCCTTCCCCTTCTTTCTCCTCTCTTCTCTCCTTTCCCTGTCTCCCTCCTCCCTCTTGGGTTTTTCAAGACAGGGGATGTAGCCCTGGCTGGCCTGTAATTTGCTCTGTAGATCAGGCTGGCCTCAGATTCATGTAGATACACCTTCCTTTCTCTACTCCCCAAGTGCTAGGACTAAAGGCATGAGCCATTGGGGCTGGAGAGATGGCTCAGTAGTTAAGAGCACTGGCTGCTCCTCCAGAGGATCTGGAATAAAACAAACAAACAAATATAGACTAGGGATCCCTTTTCATCAGAAAAGAATAAAATAAATAAACAATTCAGACCTCTCTGTAAATATATGAATAAGTAAATAAATGGAATTAAACCTTCCTAGGAGGCTTTCTAGTCAGGAAGTTAGGACAGCATTATTTGGGGAAAACTTAGAGTGAATGGGGCATTGTTAAAGGAAGGCCAGTTGGGAGGGGACATAGGAGCCGTCTCTTGCTATATAATAAATTACCTAAAAGCTATCTTGAAATTATGAGCCTTTATGGCAGTGAAGGCTTGTAGGTCACCTCAGCAGCCTGAGGTGAGCTTCCACACAGTGACATCAGAGGTGCCAGTGGGCCCTTTGTCACTTGCAGGCTGCTCTGGGCTCTACTTTCAGTGTTGCGCCTCACACAGCTGAGTGTCCTAGGGACCCGCTGGGCTCCTCGGTGACCTTACCCATATGTCAGACTGAGTCACAGGCACCACCACTCCATGCTGTTCTGGGACCAAGTGCAGCGGCCCGTGTGCATGCAGACGGCAGAGCTCAGGAGAGGCCACGGGGTACAGCCTCCCGGGACCACAGTGGAAGTAGCCGCTTAGTGCAGAAGAGCACAGTAAGAATATGAAACAAAAGGGGATCCAAGCCCTCCCAAGGAGGGGTTTCCTGTCCAGATGGCTGCACAGAGCGTCAGGGGAAGGGGTCGTGGTGGGAGTTTTATGCTGATGGAAGCATCATTACTTACCAGTGAGGAGAGGAAAGCTGTCTGGTGAAACAAATTTGGTTTTATTTACAATGGTTGAACATGGGGATCCTTAGAAAACTGGACAGCAAGGCGCCAGATGGGAAGTGTTTTAGACTTTGTAGGCCTCCCTGTCTCTGTCAGATAGCCTAGAGCCGCGAGATTGTTTTCACAACCCTCAAAAACTATTCCTGGCAGCACGCGTGGCTTGCCAGCCCGTGTCCTAGTTAAGAGTGCTATATCCACCAACCAGCATTGAACTTGAAAAAACAGGCTGGAGACCCACATGGGCTCTAGTAAGTGCTAATTACTACTCGATAGTTTCACAGATGACAGCTCTTAATGGGAGGCAGAAGCAGACTGATCTGTGAGTTGTTCGAGGCCAGCCTGGTCTACAGAATGAGTTCTAGGACAGCCAAGAGAAACCCTGTCTCGAAAAGCAAACAAACAAAAACCGAGTTACTTAAGTGAGCTCCGTCACTGCAGCATGGCGTTCTCACAGCCAGCCTCAGCCTGCTTTGCACCAGCAGCACCTCGAACCAGTACTCAGCCACGCCCAGGGCCCCTTCTCTGCTCTGTTGCCCTTACAGCCCTTTGGAGTGGATATTCGTGTCCTTGTTTCTTGCATGTTCAGGAGGCACGTGCCTACTGAGTTTCCTCAGATCCCTGTAAGGTCCTGGCTCTTGCACCTAGCTATGCAAGTCCCCATTTACAAGCCCATTTCAGATAGAGGAAATGCCAAGGTCCTAACAGCACATATGGGATTGTTTTGAGGCTGGGGTGTGGCTCAGTGAGAGCACACCAAAGAAAAGGGGTTTAGTAGGTTGGAGGGAGCCCATAGGTTGGAGAGGAAACGGCTGAGAAAAGATATAATAAATTCCCACATCAGCACTCAGGCTACCCGGAGGTGGATTGAGTAGAAAGACAGACACCTCTGGAGAAGCCAAAATCCAGTGGCGCAGATAGGGAAGGAGACGCTGTATGTGCGTGTTAAAGATTTGTATTTATTTTTATGTGTATAAATGTCTGTCTTCATGTATGTCTGGGCACCACATGTGTGCCTAGTGCCCAAGAACCAGAAGAGGTCTTCAGAGCCGTCGAATTGTAGTTAAAGATGATTAGGAGCCACCATGTAGGTGCTAGAAATTGGGATCTTCTGCTCTTACGAACTGGGCTATCTCTCCAGTCCTATAGCTAGAATTTTAAGCCAAGCAGGGAGAGAAGCTTTTAGAAGTGATTCCTTCTCTACAAGGAAGGCTGGGTGCACAGAGCAGCGTCTTTTGAGGGTGCAGGAAACCCAGCTTGTAAGAGGGAACACTAGCTTCCTCTGAAGACTGTCCTAGCAATGTGTGGCTCACACGAAGAGTTCAGCATTTAGTCACCTAGGATGCTTAACTCACTCCTTGCCAGACTCCACCCAGTGATAGAACCTGGAAACTTTCTCGTCGTCGTTATTGCTCTATGGTAGTTATTTATATAATACACACAATTAGTTTAGAAAGTCTTTTAGAAAGTCTTAAAAATAAAAACATTGCTGGTTCATGGAAAAAACACTGAGATGAACTGTCTTCAGAAAAATTTCATGAGGACAAGTTATAGCATCATGGACACAGGCAGTCATAATGAGGCCCTGAAGGAGGAAGGCGAGCCAAAGATGAGTTTCACTGGGAGAGGCAGCCATCAAGGGTCCTGGAGGGAAAGAGCCGTCAATCCGCTCCACTTCAGAGAATATCAAGAGAGTTGTAGCATCATGCCACAGGAAGCGTGAGTCTCAGGAATGAAACCTTCAATTCCGAAGTGCCCAAACGATTGCCCTCCATCATAGGCTTCTAGAACGGCCTTCTCGCAGGTTTGTAGATCAAGGCATGGGGGTCTCAACACGCGAGCTAGCCTTCACGCCCAGGAACCACAAGGCAGGAAAGCACTAGACAAAAGTTATGACTCAAGGTTCTCTTGGGCCTGGGTGTGAGGTGGGTTTACTCACAGTTCAAGAGGAAGAACAACTCTGTAAGGCCAATGAGGTCCTGGTAGGAATTGTTATCAACAACACAAGGCCTGCCCGATTTTTGGGAGAGAAAACTAGAGGCTCTGTAATCTGGCATGATTTAATATAAGAACACATACAGACTATATATAAGCATTACCAGTTTTTGTGAAGGGCTGGAGGATCTGGAGGTTTGGGTGTGTGTCCCTTGGAGCCCCCTGAAGATGGTGTGGGGCAGCTGCATGTTTGAAACAAAGCCTCGGGCAACTGGTATTAGCAAGGTGAGCTTGTAAGGTATCAGTTTGTTGCCAGTCTAGCTGAGAGGTTTGCTCTGCCTGGAAAGAAACCATGGACAGACACCAAGCCCTGAAGCAGCTTTCATGTCCCTCAGCAGCAAGCAGTGGGAGCCGTAAGCAGTGAGGACAGCCTAATGGTACCCTCCACATCAGTCACTGTACTAGCCTCCCATGGTAGGACCTCCAGCCCTGCAAGCCTTACTGTATCCACCCCTGTGGCCCTTCAGTGTCAGGCTAGCTCTAAGCAGCCAAAGGCACTGCCTAGCCAGGGCTAGTTCAGATGGTTTCTACCAAACATTTTAGAAAAACAAGCCTTCATGACTGAATGGTGCTAGAGGCATCTGGGATTGGCCACACAAGTGGCTATGATTAGGCCAAACACTGCTTCCTGCATTATGAGCAAGCTGCTTTCGTTTAGTGAGTGGACCAGGGAACTCCAGGACCTCCCTCTTGGGGTGGTAGGAGAGATGACTCAGCAGTCAAAAGCACTTGCTGCTCTTCCAGAGGACCACAGCTCAGTTCCCAGTACCCACATCAGGTAGCTCACAACTGCCTGTAACTCCAGCTCTAAGGAGATCTGAACCAATCCGTCTGCTTCCACGGGCATCTGCACTCTTGTGACATACCCATGCGTAAAAATAAAAGCATTTTTAAAAAATGACTAACAGCAACTTCCTGGCTGGAGAGATGGTTTAGGCAGTACGTGCTTACCACACAAGCATGAAGACCCGAATGCAGAGCCCCAAGAACCCATGGAAAAAAGCCAGGCACAGTGGCATGTGCCTGTGATCCCAGCACAGGAGGATGGAGAGACAGGAGGATCTCTGACCTCACTCACTAGCCAGTCTTGTCAAAACCCTGTGAGCCCCGAGTTTCAGTGAGAGGCCCTATCTTGAAGGAGAAGGTAGCAGCGAGCATGGTAGCATTGGCACACCTTTAATCCCATCACACTCATGAGGCCGAGGCAAATAGAGCTCCGTAAATCGAAGGCCAGCCTGGTCTACACGGGGCGTCCCAGACCAGGCAGTGCTACAATGACTGTCTCAAAATACAAAATTAAGTGGAAAGGTAAGACACCTGACATAGACCTCTGGCCGCCACATAGCCACCCAAACACCCGTAAGTAAGTTTATATGCACACAGACATCAAGTTGCACACACACAACACATACATGGGAAAAAATACAACTTTAAAAAACTACACTTGCTGGGTGGTGGTGGCACAAACCTTTAATCCCAGCACTCAGGGAGGCAGAGGCACATCTCTGATTTCAATGCCAATCTGGTCTACAAAGCGAGTCCAGGACAGCCAAGGCTACACAGAGAAACCCTGTCTCAATAAATAACCACAAAAGAAGAAAATATTAACGCATATTCCAAAATGAAAACAGTATTTTGCATTACTTGTTGGACACAGGGATTTTACAGTCCATGCCCTACGCTCAGTCTAAGGCCTGTGGTCATGCGAAGGAGATGCTCTGGATCACTGGTAGGACGCAATCAGGCAGGCAGGACCAGGTATCCCACAATTCAGAGAGAGATGAGTCAGAGGTCACACACCTCTGACTCCACCGTACCTCAGTCATGCAGCGACATCAAACCACCAGCCAGCCACGAAAAACCTGGAGTGAAGTACAGGGACACTGGGCTCCTGTGTTTAAACCACAGCTCTGGGGACAGGGTGCTTTCTGAGAAAGCGGAGGGTCACATCCACAGTCTGCCTGAGCCACAGCATTGGGTCAAAAGACGCCACAAACACCTGCTGCCAGGACAGGGGTTGCAACGAGGGGTTGCCTTTTCCCTGGACATCCTGACCTGGGGAAAGGATGGACTCTGAAGAGGTTCAGTAAACTTCCTTGAACCAGCACAGTCTTCCTGCCGAGAAGCAGTGAGCCCGCTGGCTCCCTGGCACACCTTACCTACTGTGAGCTGACGGCAGATGTGCAGGGCCAGCACGGTGGCAGTGGACAACTCTATCCCCGCATGGTCTCACGCACATGCATGGGTTGCAGCCCACACTGAGTCTGGCAGCATCAAGGGACAGTGGCCCAACGCCAAGGCCTCTCAAACCCTGCCAAGACAGCACTGTGGCACTTCTTAGAGACTGATGGGGCTTCTGTCACACACTCTATTCTGTGACACACACACACACACACACCCTGCCAAGGCTTCTAGTTTGTGTTTTCCCCGTGCGTTTTCCCCTTGGGAGTTTATGTAGCTCTTCTGTGGAGCATCTCAGTATACGGGGCTGTTTTTTGAGGTTTCTTCCAGGTACTCGCGGTACTGACTGGCTGTGGAGTGGGATGTGTGAGGCTGACGTGATACTGTATTTTTGGAGCTGACTTTTGCCTATTTTCTCAACTTAAAAATGAAGGTCTAACCACTTATACCAGTAGATCCCAAAACATTTACTTTTATGCTGATGAATTCCCAAAAGAAAGGGTTATAGAGTCCACTTCCAACCACAGCAGAAGCTACAAAGCCCAACAACTTCCCAGAAAATGAATGTTGAGAACAACGACTACACTCTTTTATCAACTTGAAATGAGGATTACCCACTTTTCTCACTGTTTGACAAAATACCTGACAGCTCCGGAAAGAAGGGTTTGACATGGTTCAGAGGAGTGCCCTCCATCATGGCTGCAGAAGTGGTGTGGTCTGTGTCACCAACCAGGACGCAGAGAAACCTAGCTTGCCACTGGCTTGCTCCTTTAACCCCTTCTGTTGAGTCTGGGGCCCTTGCCCACAGGATGAACGGTGCTGCCCATGGTGAACGGAGGTGTTCTTTCCTCCGTCAAACCTCTCAAGGAATGCCCTCACGGACACACCCAAGAGTGCTCCTCCTTAATGCCATAGGTTTCCTACTCCAGACAAGCTGCCAATCAATAGTCCATAACCACCTCAAAGTGGGAATGTGTCCAGGAGCTGTTTCCCACATAAAGAAGGAGCTGCAGTGTCCCACTAGGGCCCCACCACCTTTGGTGGCAGCTCCAGTGACTGGCAAGAAGCCTCTGGTAGCTTTCTGAAAGCGAGTTCTCAAAGGGGACTTTTCAAGACACTTGTTTAAAAGTAGAAAGGAGACAGTCACAGAAAATAGTTCCAGTTTGAACTCAATTTAATGCAAGAAAATGACAAACCTTCACAGGCATAGAAAAGTTCTAGAAGAGTTTGTAAGAACGGTGAGCTGACTGACAGGAAGAGCAGAGATCTAGTCAATGGATTTAATGCCTCTTTTTAAAACTACAGACATGGATTCCCTATACACGATACATCGGTTTCTATGTTTATATATTTTAGTATTTTCTTAGATTTATTTGTTATATATACAGTGTTCTGCCTGCATGTATGCCTGCACGCCAGAAGAGGGCACCAGATCTCGTCAGAGATGGTTGTGAGCCACCAGGTAGTTGCTGGGAATTGAACTAAGGACCTTTGGAAGAACAGCCAGTGGTCTTCACATCTAAGCCATCTCTCCAGCCCCCATATTTTAGAGTTTTAAGCAATTTTGATTTAGAGACGATAGAAAGCCAGGCATGATGGCATTCACCTATGGTTCTAGTACTTGAGAGGTGGAAGGAGTTGGTCAGCCTCATCTATCTACACAGTGAGTTGAAGGCCAGCCTGAGTTACATGAGACATGGTCTCAAAAAAAGATACCTTGTGCCCATGTAAGACTACCAAGAGAAAATGAGGAACCCAGGAACTTTGAGGCAGGAGGGTGAAGCAGGCAGCGGGGAGGGCCTTCAATCTAGAACAGGAGCACAAAGGTACTGCCCACAGTCCAGCAAGACCCCAGGACCACAGGAGACACGAGTTGGCTGGAAGGCCCTACACAGCAGGAGGTTCCCACCCTCTCTTTAAGGGACAATCAGTCTTGTTGGGGAAAGGCTTGGGGAGTTGGGACTTTACAAGAGTCCCAGCCCAGGGCTGTGCACACCTGTGATTCCCGCACTTGAGATGCTGAGGCAGGAGGAATGCCATGAGTTTCAGACAAGCCAAGGCTACATAGCAAGATCTGTCTCAAGAACAGCAACCAAAAAGAGCCAAGAACAATGGCCCAAGCCTGTAATCTCAGGATTTGGGAAGCTGGAAGCAGGAAGATCAGGAGTTCATGGTCATCTTCAGTAACATAGGGAATTCAAGGCCTCTGTAGAGAGCTCCGAAGCTTTTGGATACAGTGCATGATGGAGACCCTGAGGGCCAGACAGCAACTTGTCATTCACATTCCCAGCGGCAAGTGGGACACTATAAGGACAGAGCCGCCAGGAACAGAGGGCAGCAACCGGGACCCTGGGGAAGATGTGGGGGACCTACCCTGGCTTAGCTGGCAGAACATGAGGAGAGGGGAGCTCTCCTTGGATGAAGTGACTAGAGCCAGCAGGCAGAGGCGGCACTGCTGCCAGAAGAAGCAGGGTGGCGCAGCCCGGTACTGCTCCAGCACAGCTGCCTACAGCAGAGCCTGGCAGGATAGGGCTCCACACGACTTGCTGGAGTCTGGGCCCACTGTTGTCCAGGGAGGGGAAGATTCCAGCAGATTCCTCTTCCAGACTTGGCGGGAAACACATCCACATTTGCCTTTCGTCTTCTTTGTCCATCCATACTTCCTTCTTTCCTCTCTTCTTTGACTCTTTTTGGTGAGACATCTAAAGATGGAGATGGTTTAGCTCCAGTTTATCAAGAAACAACCTGAGAAGCCTGGACTCACATCAGGCCTCTTTCCCTCCACACACAGCTCCCAAAGCTCAGCTCAGGTGGAGGTTTAAAGACCCTGTGGCAGGCCTTGACCTATAAAGTCAAGGTAAACTTCTCTGGCAGATTTCATTTGCCTTAGGAAAAAGCAGCAAGAATATGTCAAGCCTCAGCTTCTTGGCTGAGGGAAATGAGGAGGCAAACATGACCTGGGGGGCAACAGAGGGAAGCAAGCCTTGGCTGTCAGCAGCTTAACAGGGACCTTCAGGCAGGAAGTGAGGAGGCCCCACCTAAAGGGAAGTAGGACACTTTTCTGCCGTGACATAAAACAAGTGGCAGCCAGTCAGGTGTCAGCTATCTGGAGGCTGAGGAAACCAAGGAACATCAAAGTACATGAAAATGCTACAAATACTTCTTGCCACTACAGCGACACAACCCAGAGGCTGAACAACACTGGCTTGTGCCAAGTGAGGAAACAGGCACAAAGTACTTTTCATAGAAACATGTACAGACTGGGGTAAAGCTCAGAGGTAGAGCAGGTGCGAATCCTGGATTCATTCCCCAGCATAATAAAAATGATAGCAATGAATTTTTTTTCAAAAACGGGAAATTTTACCAAAGACAAAACAAAACAAAAGATTCCAGATTAAATTTGCCTGTAACAGTGTGGACCTATTTGTGGCAGTTCTTCATCATCTGTGACAATCCTGAGGAATATCCCAGCACTGAGACCTCAGGGTAGCCAATGCTACTCCGCCCTCCTCAGATTCCAGCTCACAAGAGCTCAGGTGTACCCTGGAAAGAAGTCTTGGTACAAACCTCGGAAATGAAAATGGATGGAGATGTCTACCACAGCAGACAGACAGAAGCACGGAACTGACACACAAGCACTCTCTCATGCACCCCATGCACATGGGTAGTAAAAAGCTGAAACTCTGTACCAGGTTAAGACGTTACTGTGGTTGCCCCCTTGTGTCAGCAGGCACGGGTGCACACCTGTTAGCTTATGGCACTCTCGGAATGTTCAATTATCCACTCAATGGCAGCCCACCCCTGCAACAACACAGAAGGACTTCAGTTTTTGCTGCAGCAAGTCACGGGCCTGCAACATAGGAAGGAACTGCTGTGGCAAAGACGTGGCAATAACCTCCCTGAGCCTTGGCCCGTGAGGCGGTTTGAATAAAAACGGCCCCCAGAGGTCCATGGGGGGTGGCACTATTGGGAGGTGTGACCCTGTTGGGGCAGGGGTGGCCTTGCTGGTGTAGGCGTGGCCTTGTTGGCAGGTTTAAAGGTCTCAGAAACTCAAGCCAGGCCTAGTGGGCTTACTGTCTCTTCTGGCTGCCTGCAGATCCAAATGCAGAACTCTCAGTTCCTCTCCAGCACCACATCTGCCTGAACAGTGCCGTGCTTCCTGCCATGATGACACTGGACTAAACCTTTGAACTGTAAGCCAGCCTAATTAAATGTTTTCCTTTATAAGAGTTGCGATGGTCATGGTGCCTCTCTATGACAATAGAAACCCTAATTAAGACAGTCCACGTAAGTAGGCTATTGAAGCTCAGAAATATGACGGGATGTTCTAATGAGAAAGGATGCACTAGCTTGAGCTATCCCAGTTGACACCCCTCTTAGAATAGCACAGCCAATCCATATTTGAAGGAGGCCTATGGCATTCCAAAGCCCTGGAGCCAAAGCTTCTGTGTGGACACCAGAGAGATTGGGGTGAACCTCAAAGCAATAGTAACCCTGACCAGGACAGATGCCTTCCCTCCAGATCATGGCCAGCCTTTCTGTATCTCTATTTGAAATAGAACTGTAGGGAATGCTATGGCCTTAAGAGCTCAACCACAAAGATCCCAGTCCTCAGGAGGACCCAGGGGCCAGACATGTCACCACTTCGTCTGACACATTACCGCAGAGTGTAATGGGGCCCTGTCCTGAGGTGTGCACCTTCTTTGCATTGGAGGATATCGTGTTGGCCATTAGACTTTCCAGGTAGCTCCCCAGGCTAATCCCCTTCACAGTGATGATGGCTTCTTGGGTGAGCACAGTCCTGCAGAAGAGCAGAAGTAAGGAGCTGAGCAACCCTGGGCTGGAGGCACCATCCGCCCCTGCTGTTCAGGGTGTCCATCCCGGGAGGCGTTGACTCACTTTTCGGGGTTCTCTGGATGAGGTGTGTACACCAACCTCTCATTCACTGACACCAGATTTGTGAGTGTGATCTTTAAAAACAGAACAGGCACACGTGTGAAAAAATAAACCACCGCTTTCGGTTCTACGATTCCAAACCATCTATCCTTCAAGCCCCAAACTGCCACTTTCGAAAGCCAGAAGGGAACATTCAGTATCACCCCACACATAAACACTATACGTTAGGGACACTACTGGGTGGCTCCTTCTGAGGACGATTATCACTCTTTCCCTCCCCACACCTGAGGAGGGATCTGCCTTCAAGGCACCCACATTTTGCCAAGTCCATCAGCCACTGTAGGACAAACAGTCCACTATTAGTGTCCATGGCAACAGTAGCCAACTCTATAGCCCTAATGCCAATGCTGGACTGCTAGATTCTGGGATCCACACAGAAGCCTCAGTGGCCTTGTCTCCAACCCTACTTCCTGTCAGCAAGCTAACTTACTGCTTATATTTTCTATGAAAACATACTCAGAGCCAGCGAGCTATCTTGGCAGATAAAGGTGCTTGCTACACAGGCCTATCAACCTGAGTTTGATTTCTGGAACCCACAGAAGGAAGAAAGGAAGGAAGGAAGGAAGGAAGGAAGGAAGGAAGGAAGGAAGGAAG